ATATATAATATAAAAATAAACTAACTAAGTAAAAGGTTTAACTAGCTATAGGTAAAGTATAAAGTAATAGAAGTCCCTACTCTACTTATAGTAGTATTAGACTTACTAGGGAACTTGTATTAGATTATATATATAGATCTACTAGAGAGAGCTGCTAATAACCTGCTACTAAGCTAGAAGCTTTAGGACTTATAACTAGGCCTAATAGTTACTCTAGAAAATAAAGATATAACGCTAGATAAATAGGAAGTAGAAGAGATCCTTTATATAAAGAATACAAGATAAAAAGGGAAGTGTTAAGTCCTAGTAAAATAGAAGGGGTATATTAATCTAATATAGCACCTACTAGAGGTAGTATAGGATACTAAGGCTCTAGATAGGTTTAAGGAATAGTATAGGGATATTATATATAATAATAGCCTAATATATATAAAAGCTAGGAAGTAAGGGTAGAATAAAACTAGAATAATAACTTAGAACTTTATTATAATTAAGAAGCAAAAAGGTATTAGAGATATCTTTTATTTATCCTAATAACACTCTAAGCAAGTGCCCTACTACTAAAGTTTTATAATATAGCTAATAATTAGGTAGTAGTGTCTATACTATTACTATCTATAAATAACCCTCCCCTAGCCCCCCCTAAACTATTATTTATATTATTCTAACGCCTCTATATCTCTTAGTAATAGTAGTAACACTTACGCATAGTATAGGTAGGGGAAGACTTAGTTAATAAGTATAAGTAGTAGTAGTAGTAGTAGTAGTAGAAGGAGGGTAGTGCTTTAATAGTTTACTAATACGTAGCATCCTAGGCCTAAAGAAAATAAATATTAGAATAGATATAAAGGGAATAAAGGAAAATTAATACTAATAATAAGAGTCTTAATACTATAAGTAGTATACTTAGTAGCGCTCTTAAGCTTATTAATATAAAGATTAGTTTAGGCCTAAGTCTTATTTATATACTAGTTAATACACTAGAAAGTAATACTAGTAGTAGTAGTAAGCTATATAACGTTATTATTACTACAACTACTATATAAAGGCGTAATAGTAGACTATAGTAGAAATACTAGAGTACTAGTAGTAGATAGAATAATAGCACTAAGCTAATACTAATTATAGGCGCGCAAGTAGGTAGTAGGGGTAAGTAGAGTAATAGTATTATTAGTTTAAGCCCTTAATATAAGATCCTTAAAATAATAGTAGAGCTAGTAGAACTATAGTATAAACTAGTAATAGGTACCTTTAGTAGTTTTCCCTATAAAAGTACTAAGGGTCCCCTTATTTATAATATAGAGGCAATCCTCCTAGTAACTATAATAAAACTAAAGCTAGTTATAGAGGGCTTAGTAAAGGTTAGGATTATTAGTAAGGATAGCTTCTAATTAAGTATAAGTCTTATAGCTATAATAGTAGGACTTATATAAGCGCCCTAGATATAGTTAGAACTTGCTATAAAGGAAATAAAAATTAAGAGAAACTTACTACTACCTTCTTAATAGTTACACTTACTAAACAGATAAAGCTAGTTAATATACTAATAATAGGGAAGTAGCTTTATAAAGCTACTATTATATTCCTTATTATCTAAGTTACTAGAAATAATAAAGCTACTAAGTAACTATATTTAGGGAGATAAATACTAAGTAAAAGTTAGTATAGGAAATATAGGGAGAATATTAAAAGTATATACCTTATCTTAGTAGGCCTAGTATAGGGTCTAACTACCTTATAGTAGATCCCTACTACTAGCACTAGTAGTAGTAGATAAGGATATAATAGAGGCTAGATAGGTAGGATTAATAGAGAAAGAGTAGAGAGAGGGCTAATTAGTAGGGAAAATCTATTATATAATAAAGTAAGTTTAGGAAATTTATAGTAAGGTAGGATAGCTATATTAGAGCTTTTATAATAGGGTACTAAAATAAGTATATAGATACTATATACGCGTACTACTTAATATATAGGCCTATTATAAATTAGGAAGGAATATAAAGATATAATAATAAAACCTAAAAATATATAGTAATAAAGCCTAATATAGATTATAGAGGACAAAGATATAACCTTAAACCCCTAGAAAGGCAATTTTATAATAGTTTATAGGGAAGGTTAGGGGTATATAAAGGGCTTAGGCTTATACCTAAGCCTAGGTTTAATATAAGATAGACTAAGTCTAACACTACTACTACTAAGTAAACACACACTGCACACCTATAAAAAGGCGTAGAGGGCTTACCTCTCCTTTAAGATACTAAATACTATTATTAACGCTTATTGCATTCTCCCTTAAGGCTAGTCTATAATAGCTTATAGGGAAGGTAAGGGGTATATAAAGAGCTTAGGCTAATACCTAAGTATAGACCTAATAAAAGATAGGTAGAGACTAACACTACTACTAAGTAAACACGCTACACACCTATAAAAAGATATAGAGGGCTTACCTCTCCTTTAAGATACTAAATACTATTATTAACGCTTATTATATTCTCCCTTAACGCTAGTCTATAATAGGTAGTTATATTAGTGCAATTCTTATTATATCTTTAACTAAGGGCGCACTAGTTAACACTATACTATATAGTAACTTAAGTATATTTAAATTATACTCCTATTAGGTGCGATTTTAAAAATATAATTGCTGTATCTATAAGATAAATATTAGGTAAGTTATCGCGTGTGGTAGACATGATGAAAATGTTTGTTGTGGTGTTAGGGTGGCAATAGGTTGAATACGGCCATATCGCGCGCAGCCTCGGTACGTTAAGGCTAAAGTTAAGAAGTATATCTTTAATACCTTTATAGAAAAAGGTGTTAAGGCTATAACTAGAGCGCCCTAGATAATTAAGAAGAATATATATTTTACTTTTTATGCCTACTCTAGTATGTACCGGTATAGCTCTGGTCTCAAAAACAACCACCGAGCAGCATGGTGGATTTAGATTCACCAAATCATGAGAAAAAGACCACACGACTGCATCACGATGCCACAGAAGTTGTACAGCACGTTCTCAACGCCCTCTCCTTGGTCCATAGATACCAGTACCTCGATATCCTCACAAACAAGTTAGTCAGCAACGGCAGCACCAGCACAGCGGAAGCTAAACTTTAGATCACGTGCTTCAATATGTCGAGTTGAACGGGTAACCCGTCGAGGATCCATCTATCGTTCAGCGAAAGATTAAACAGCCTTTAGAGAGCTAAGTCTGTCGACTACAAATGCTGTTTTAACCGCACTTCACAATGCCATGGCGCACTTTAGTAACTTAGAGTTAGCCTATATGCTCACCTTTACTACAAAGTGTGCTCGAGAATGAAATGTCGTCTTTGACGTTCAAGTTTTGGCTTATGGTATGCAAATGCCTAGGCCTAGCTTTCCACCCGTGTTCTCTGCACCAGCATGGGAAGGGACAGGTACAGTCTAGCTATTGGTGTTGGAAGAGGCATGTATCTCTATCAAAATATGTTCCCTGTAAAGAGTTGGACTTGGCCAAGACGCAGTAGACTAAGAATCTTCCCCAACCCCAGACTGGGAGAGGAAATATTCGACAGAGTCATGGGCGCTGAAAACTCTGGCATCGACCAAGTTACGTACCTAGGACAAAATAGATACATAAAATCATTGCCGCTGGAACTTCTGGTGCAGTTTTAGCCATGCTCACCAAGTGAAGTCCACGTTCTATTCCAAGCCGTAGTATCGTAAACCATGATGATTCGTAATACTGTCATCTCAGGCGGTTACATGAGCAGGTAGATCCGCTGCGAACGAACAACCTGCGTACAAGAAGCATTCAGCAACTTCATGGCTTGGGAAACGAGGCGGTTGTGGCACTGTGGTTTCCTCGAGTGACGAATTGATACTGAATGTTCTAGAAAGGGTACCGTCTGATCTGGTGAGAGAGAGCAGTGATGGTACAGTATCGTCTGACAAGCTTCTTGTATACGGTGTTAATGGTATGAGTAGCCCAAGAACAGATTCATCAGATGTGGTCCTTGCGTCCGGTGTTTCTTGTTCTTGCGAGACCAGATTGTCAGGCCAACAGGACGTTTGAGATCCACATGACTTCTTTAGAGTCATACAGCATATCATACATTCCGACCGCTCGAGTGAAGCTCTTCGCCTAGCGTATGTGGAGTGCAAATAACACCGATACCGAGATGAGGTGGATGATGTTGTAACTTGTCGTTGTTGTCGACGGGCGGTCGCGCGTAGCTAAGGCCCGATCGACCGCGATTTTATCGACAGCCCGATCACCTCAACGACGTCTTGTCGGGAAAAGTGGCGATTGGGTAACGACAATCTCGATTTTATGCCCATGACACGGTTCACGACGACTGCGTGAGTATGTGTTCAGGGTTTGGATGCGGAAGTCTGCCCAACTGCAACATGAGCTGTCTAGCGTAACATGAAGGACATCCACCTGATAGAATTATGAGTAATGGTTACAGCTTGCTGTGCAGAGGCAATGGGCACACATCTTTGTAAGAGCGGTCGAACATATTGTGAATGGTGTAAATGGATCCAGTACCCTGTTCAGGCAATTGGTTCCTACAAAAATTGCTAGCTGTGTTGTACTAAGGTGCATGAAGTAAAGTTTCACATCCGATAAGAAAGATGGTGAGTCTATCGGGCCTTCGCAAATTAGTCGTGTGATCGGTATCCTATTCTCTCTAGGTAATTTCAAGATTCGAAGGGAAAATGGTTGACCTCCATAAACTTGCGCAAGAGGGTGGCTCGAAGAATTCTGGGTGATAGGTACGTCTTGAATGAGCCCAGTAGATCACCGTGGAAGCCACGGCGAGAGCCAAAGGTACCAATTCTCATGCGCTGCTCTCACATCCCGTTTGGAGAGTGGTGACCGTAACAGGGTATCATTATGATCGACAGAGCATCTCTATCGTGAGTAATGATCGAGGCGCTGGCACGCGCATGTTGCTTCTTGGTGCATACTTTTGCCAAGGAGCACAATGGTAGTCAATTTCCAAGGTTGTGGTCACGCGCGGCGGAACCGGGTTGCTTCGGACGTTGTTTGAACGGTAGCTGCCCGATTACCGGTACTAGACCGGGACAGACTGATGGTAAACGGCCACGATGTTGAAGGCGTGGAAGGCATACATGTATCCTCTTCGTTCCCGACTATGTACCTGCTGTTGGGCAAAGACTTGAGCCGCATCGCAGTGTCGGTGACGCTATGGTAGTGTGCAGAAATGCAAGGCAGGAATGGTCGTGATTTGCCAGCGACAACCATAGAATTCTTCATACGGCCTAGTCCGACACAAGCCGCAGGATTGGGCCAGGGATCGGTAAAAAATGATAGTCGGCCAGGGATTATGGCGAGTTACCTAGCGCTGCGTACTGTACTCAGAATGCACATATGGTTTGCGAAGCTGAAGGCATACGAGCGATGAAGCGAGAGATCTCGACGGTGGCCACGTCGCAACCTTGCAAACTATCGATCATCGTGATGCTTGGCGTGTAGCTCAAAACCTTCCCGAACTCGTCTCGATGCTCCGATGGACGTGCAACTTGTACAGCGCCAGGAGGCGAAGCTCAACATCTGGGTTCAGGCCAGATCCCAGATAGCATTATCCGAGATGTTGGAAATGCTGGACCAATGGGAACAGGTGGTGATGGCAGTATGTTGGATGATGAATTAATGGGGAGAAAACTGGGTAACGTCCACTCAAGTCGCCAAGCCTGTGCCCCCCTGTCAGCGGTCGACTTCACTCGCTTCATGACATTTGTCCAACATGCCTCAGAGGACCTGCACCTGGATTTGATGCCGCTCACCTACTTATGTATCATGTACACGCAGGCAATCTCCAGACTCTCTAGCTCTCCCGTACGAGGTGTGCATGGATCTTTTGTCATGATTGACGCCCAAATTGCCTGGCCCTGGGCCTGACCCATGTAGGCCAGCAGTATCGGCGCACATCCCACCCCGGGACAGTCTTACCTGCCGTCAGTCTTACTCACTTTGTTCTTGTTGGAGCGGCTTGTGCGATGTGTCCCTATCGATTGAAGAGTCACTCGTGGATGGCTTGTGAGATGATGACGGGTCCTCGTTTTGCTGTGTTGTTCAGACGCCCATGCAACGTCCCGGATTCCCCGGACCAACCTGCTGAAGAGACTCGTGGAGACAAGAGAAGACGAGACGAGACGAGACTCGGTATAATCTGAAATCGCCATGGGTCAAAGGGGCGAAGCGGTGAGGCCGCGAGGGAAGCCTTTTGCTATGTATCAAGCAGCGCACGGGCCGACACACAGTAGCGCCTTCCCCGAAAGGCACGCAATAGCACGCAATTCAGTTAGGAAAGAGCCATGAACGCTGTCACCCAAATCTCCGACTCAGCACTTGAGCTACTAGGAAAAAGGCTCACGTGCCTTCCCCACATACCCAGCACTGTGTCCCGCTTAGATAGGACAGTTGCCTGTAGGTAGACCGTCATTTCGGGGCGCTCGTCATCTATAAGAAACTTGCCCTCGCCGTCCGTCCCTCTCCCCTTCACCTCGCCGTGCTACTGCTGCTGCTATCACTTCTTGCCTCTACAAGCAACAGAGGCTAGCGTTCCTTACGCAATTGAACCACGTTTCTACTCCCATACAAGATTGCTGTCACACAACACCAACTCTGCTTGGCTGCTGTACCGTGCTTCCCGTCTTCCAAACATGGCGCCCAGTGTGCTGCTGGAGCTCGAAAGCGCGCCCACTCACCTAACCAAGTCGCCCATCAAGGCCGAAGCTGGCGTCTCTCTAGAGGCTCATACCCATTTTGCTGACCAGCTTTCTCTCAATGCCTCGCAGACGAACAGCAATGGCCACGCCCATGGCAGAAATGGCTTTTCCAACGGCACTGCAGACCGTCCCCTACAGGCACCAGGCTTGGTAACTGCCCAGTCGCTTCGCCAACAGTCCGAAAGCTATGCTTCGCAAACACAGGTCCCTGGCGGCCGTCAGAAGAAGCCCAACATCTTGTACATCATGGCCGATCAAATGGCCGCTCCACTCCAGAAGTTCAATGACCCGAATTCGGTCATCAAAACACCTCACCTTGATGAGCTGGCAAGGACGGGTATCAACTTTGCAAGCGCATACTGCAACTCTCCGCTGTGTGCGCCCTCCCGATTCACCATGTGCACAGGCCAGCTTCCATCCAAGATTGGCGGATACGATAACGCTTCGATCCTAGGTCCTGAAGTCCCAACGTATGCTCACTATCTTCGACGTGAAGGTTACGAGACTGCCCTGGCTGGCAAGATGCACTTTATTGGTCCCGACCAGCTTCATGGTTTCGAGCATAGGTCAGTTCAAAGTAGCAAACTGGCAGATATTTTGACTGACCTGTGCGCTCCAGGCTCACTTCTGATATCTATCCTGGTGACCTAGGCTGGGCGGTCAACTGGGACAAGCCAGAAGAACGCCAAGAGTGGTACCACAACATGTCTTCCGTTCTGCAGGCCGGACCTTGTGTTCGATCCAACCAGCTTGATTACGACGAGGATGTCATGCACAAAGTAAGCGAGCGTCTCCGTCATGTTTAAACGCCACAAGACCTCCAGTGTGCATACAGCGATCTTCTTGTGCTTGAATGAAGACTGCATCTTCCTAATCGTGCTAACCTATACAGTCTCAGCAATACCTGTACGACTATGTCCGTTCCGACCCGGAGACACGCCAACCTTTCGCTCTCACCATCTCCTTGACTCACCCACATGATCCATATACCATGATCCGAGAGTACTGGGACCGCTATGAAGGTGTCGACATTCCCCTTCCGAAGACCGAAATCGCCCAAGAGGATCAGGATACGCATTCACAGCGGCTGCTGAAGACCATAGATCTCTGGGATAATCCCGTACCTGATGAGGCTAAGATTCGAGCTCGCCGCGCCTACTTTGCCGCTTGCAGCTTTGTAGATGATCAAGTTGGCAAGCTCGTCAAGCTACTCAAGAACTGCTATCTCGAGGAAGATACCATTATTGTATTCTCTGGTGATCACGGTGACATGCTCGGTGAGCGAAGCTTGTGGTACAAGATGAGCTGGTTCGAGAATAGTGCACGAGTCCCCATGATCATCAATTGTCCAGCCAAGTTCAAGCCGAAGCAAGTCAAGGAATCTGTCTCCACGATGGATCTTCTCCCAACATTCGTCGACCTTGCAGGAGGCGACGCCTCGGCTATACTTCCCATTGACGGCGTCAGTCTGCATGAGTATCTTGTTTCTGACAAGCCAGGCAAAGATGAAGTATTTGGCGAGTACATGGGCGAAGGCACTGTCACTCCCACTTACATGATCCGTCGCCACCAGTGGAAGTACACTTACTCCCTGGCCGATGCACCTCAGCTTTTTGATCTTGTCAATGACCCCCAAGAGCTCAATGACCTTGCCAAGTCCAAGGAACCTCATCATCAGAAAGTCCTTGCACAGTTCCAAGCCGAGGCACACGCGAAGTGGGACTTTCAGCAAATCCATCAGGATGTGCTGAAGAGCCAGCGCATGCGGCAAATTGCATGGAGTGCCCTTCAGATTGGTATGAGCTTTCGTTGGATCCTTGTGAGTGGTGTAGTTGACAATGATGCAGGTCGCAAGGAAACCTGGGACTACCAGCCACCTTACAACGACAAGGACCGTTTTATCCGCTCCCATATCCCATTGGACGATCTTGAACGTCGTGCTCGTTTCCCGGTGGTTGACCATCTGGGACGCGAGAAGACTGCTACCGCGTCTCACCATGGCATCGCTGGGGCTTGGGGCGAGTAACGAAATCTGGCAGGCAGCATTTCTCAGGTACCCACATGTTTCTGTCAGTGCCATATGTAAGTACTATGTCTTTTTTTGCAGCATCTTCTGTATTTCATGATGGATTAAGCGGCATGGCTATATGTGGCTCCGAGTGGTGGATTGTCCTTTCATGCGCTTCAAGGAATAATGACGGGCTTAGCAAGGCGTTATGGCGACGAGGAAACAATGGCGAGGAACCTGAAATGTACAACTAAATGATGATGAGACGAACAAGTAATTCTGAACACATTGCCGTGGTATTGCAACCCCGTGAAACTGTGTCGAGGGCACTTGCTCGAGTAATGCACTGCATGACAAATGGAGATGAATGGACGAGGATGCGATTAGCGAGCACGATAAGGTTGTCTCACCACCCAGCTGCGTCAGGGTAGCACGTGAGGGCGTGGCGGTCGCCTCAAACGGGCGCCCAGCATGTTCCCCGACGTCTCCACCCTCACACAACCACGTATAGCTTGCTCTCGGTTGTTGTCTACCGCGCTGCCATCTTCCTCCACGTATCTGCAAATCCCTAGAGTTGCCTCTATACCACCCACCCCCTCCGAAAGCAACATGTCTACTGCTGCCCGCCGCCGATTGATGCGTGACTTCAAGGTATGCCATCCATGTGCTCTCCATGTCTCCGACGCCTCTTACGGTCAGAGTGGATCATACTGCATATAAACTCTGCTGACTAGTCTTATCACAGCGTATGCAGACTGATCCGCCTGCTGGAGTTTCCGCCTCGCCCATCGCTGACAATGTCATGACTTGGTATGGCGACCCTCGTCTGTCCCTCCACACTCCTGTCCTCGGACTTGCTTGTACCCTATGGCAAACTACAGCCACACGCTGGACATTCCGATTTCAAGGTCCCAGTGGAATGGAGAGATGATATGCTGATAAGTTGTATAGGAACGCGGTCATCATTGGCCCCGCAGACACGCCGTTTGAAGATGGGACGTTCCGCTTGGTAATGCATTTTGATGAAGCATACCCGAACAAGCCGCCCAGTGTCAAGTTCATTAGTCAGATGTTCCATCCCAATGTCTACGGTACAGGAGAACTTTGCCTGGACATTCTGCAGAACCGGTGGTCACCTACCTACGACGTGGCTGCCATCTTGACAAGTATCCAAAGGTATGCTGGTGCCCGGAGCGTTGAAGAGGCTTATGTCTCCTTGGACAGATTGTGCTGACTAGATGCAGTCTTCTCAACGACCCCAACACGTCGTCGCCAGCGAACGTTGAAGCGTCAAACCTGTACAAGGAGAACCGTAAGGAGTACACGAAGCGGGTTCGCGAGACAGTGGAGAAGAGCTGGGATGACTAGACTGGCGACTTGGAGCACATGATGCATCATATCACGACAAGGGCATACGATGGAGTTCAAGGCATGTGGTTCGGGTTTACTGGTGTTTAGGCAGGGTTATTGCCATGTTGCGCTGGGTTTCCTCAATAGCTATAGCGAGGCGTCTAGGGCCGTCTTTGTGTATGAGAAATGGCACTATACATGTCACATGGAGTTGATGAAGTGACCACCTACGTGCTGTGATAGCGTCGGGACTCAGTATCAACCTAGTATACCGACCCCCGCACGCACCTGTGGATGTGACATGACGGGGAGTTGCTTTGCTTTGCAGCGTCTTGGTGGAATCCCCCATGTCCACAAGGTATTCAAGTGGATTGCAGCAGACAGAGACAGACAAGATTCTTCCATGCAGCAAGTCGACCGTTGTGCCAATGTATGAGCGTGCAGCGGGACAGGCGCTGCCATACTCGGGTACTATGGTAGGGGACGAAGCGCGCGCCATTGCGGGGACCAGGCAGGCGCCGGAGCCCATGGACGCATGAACAGGAGCCAGATGCCTGCGCCTCGACTGCACCACAGTATATCCAGCCAGCCTACCCTAGCCACTTTTTGCCCGCCAAAATCGACTGACTGACTGGAGCACGCCCACCGAAACACGGAAACACTGCCAGTCATTCGTGGCCTTTTTGCGTTGTTTTACAAACTGTATTTTGCAAAAAAAACCAAGCAAGTGCTGATTAGCCCTGCGTCGGTACTCTAGTTGCTCTTAGTAGCTACGGCTGGAGTCGATACTGTTGTTATCAGAGGAGAGAGGCTGACGCTGGTTCGACTGCCACCTGGAGCCACAGTGGGGGCCTGTCCTGTGTGTCCTGTGTGTAATTAACTTGACCCTCTAGACGCGCGCCGAGACGGTAGCAGACGTGACTGGCGACGGTACCACAACAGTCCCCCCCCCCCGTTCCCGCTGGCTCTGCAGCAAAACGAGCAACAGGTGCAGCCAGAGAGCGAGCGCATACAGCTGAGAGGGAGGCCTGTGGGCCGCATCACCGAACCACGACCGCAGCCATGTCGTAAGTAGTCGTCGCAGCGGGCACCCGCGGGCAATGGAGGGAGCGAGAGAGACATCCAGCTAACATGTTCGGCACAGGGGGTCCAACACCATCAAAGGTACGTCGGCTGCACACACTTCCCAGCACGGGCACGAGGAAGCGCCTGGCCAGCCAAGCCATGTGAGGGTATACAGATGGACTGACGGTGGGACAATATGCAGTCGTGGCCCGCTTCCGCCCGCAGAACAAGGTCGAGATTGCCAGCGGCGGTGAGCCTATTGTCGAGTTCAATTCCGAGGACACATGTACGATCCAGGTATGATAGAGAGAATTCACTCCCGCGGCCTTTCCTTGTAGCATGGACAAAGGCAAACGGAAGAAACGGGCTCGCTGACAAGACCACCATGTACAGTCCAAAGAGGCCTCGGGGGCCTTCACCTTCGACCGTGTGTTCGACATGTCGTCGCGCCAGGTCGACGTCTTCGAGTACTCCATTCGCCCCACGGTCGACGACATTTTGAATGGATACAATGGCACCGTGTTTGCCTACGGGCAGACGGGTGCGGGAAAGTCCTATACCATGATGGGTAGCGACATCGACGACGAGGTGGGCAAGGGTGTCATTCCACGTATCATTCAACAGATCTTTGCGAGCATTCTGGCCTCACCGAGTAATATCGAATACACGGTGCGGGTCAGCTACATGGAGATCTACATGGAGCGCATTCGCGATCTACTACAGCCTCAAAACGACAATCTGCCTGTCCACGAAGACAAGGCCAGGGGTGTATACGTCAAAGGCTTGCTGGAAGTGTACGTCTCGACGGAGGAGGAGGTCTACGAAGTGCTGCGAAGAGGTGGATCAGCAAGAGCAGTATCTGCCACCAACATGAACGCGGAATCGTCACGATCTCATTCCATCTTCCTCGTCACCATCACGCAGAAGAACGTCGAGACGGGATCACAAAAGAGCGGGCAGCTTTTCTTGGTCGATTTGGCTGGTTCTGAGAAGATTGGAAAAACGGGCGCAAGTGGACAGACGCTTGAAGAAGCCAAAAAGATCAACAAGAGCTTGAGTGCGCTGGGAATGGTCATCAACTCGTTGACGGACAACAAGACTTCGCATATCCCATACCGAGATTCAAAACTCACACGTATTCTGCAGGAATCGCTGGGTGGTAACTCCCGCACAACGCTGATCATCAACTGCTCGCCAAGTAGTTACAACGACGTTGAGACACTGGGAACACTCCGCTTTGGTATGCGAGCAAAGACAATCAAGAACAAGGCCAAGGTCAACGCAGAGCTCAGTCCGGCCGAACTCAAGGCTATGCTCAAGAAGGCGCAAAGCCAGGTTACCACATTCGAGAACTATATCTCTGCCGTCGAAACCGAGGTCTCTCTATGGCGTGCAGGAGAGTCAGTTCCCAAGGAGAAATGGACTGCACCTCTAGAGACATCATCTGGTACTGGAAAGAGGCCGCCTTCAGCACCGCGAACAGGAACACCATCAAGACTAGAATCCACAAGAAGCTCTGAGACACCATCTCGGCCAGATTCGCGAATGGACATGGACCGTGCAGGCACACCCAGCATTCCTCTGGAGAAGGATGAAAAGGATGAATTCTTGAGGCGAGAAAATGAGCTCCAAGATCAAGTCGCGGAGAAGGAGACGTTGCTTGCCAAGGTCGAAGATCAACTCCGGACCGTCAAGGATGAGCTCCAGTACTACAAGGAACGAGACTCCAAGACGAACAAGGAAAATGAGCGAATCACACTGGAGCTCAATGAGATGCGTATGCAGGTCGAAAAGATCCAGTTTGAGAGCAAGGAGGCGCAAATCACCATGGATGGACTCAAAGAGGCCAATGCAGAGCTTACTGCCGAACTTGACGACGTCAAACAACAACTGTTGGATGCGAAGATGAATGCCAAAGAGACTAGCGCAGCCATTGACGAGAAGAAGAGGAAGAAGGCTGAAGCGATGGCGCAGATGATGGCTGGGTTCGATCTGGGCGGCGAGGTCTTCAGCGACAACGAGCGCACCCTGCGCAAGATTATCGAGCAAATCGACCAACTGCACGAGATGAGCGCGTCAGGTGAGGCCATCGCTCCAGATGCGATTCTGGAGCTGCGCGAGAAGCTTGTGGAGACCCAAGGCATCGTACGCCAGGCCGAGCTGTCTCTCACAAGTCGGAGCGAAGAAGACACTGTACACAATAAGCGACGAGAGGCTCTTGAAGCACGTTGCGCCAACCTGCAAACGCAGTATGAAGAGCTTCTGGAACGCAATCTGTCGGAAGAGGACCGTGAAGAGATCAAGTCGCGACTTGCAGACGCATACTCTGCGAGACAAGAAGGCAACCTCGAGCTCACGGAAAGTCTCAAGCAAGACCTCGCGAAGAAGGCAGAGGAAAACCAGTTGTTGAAGACGGAGATTGAGAGCCTCCAACAGCGCATCAAGAGCGGTGCGATTGTGAATGGCGTTGCCAACGGTATCGGTGGCAAGACGGTACAACAACAAATCGCTGAATTTGACACGATGAAGAAGAGCCTGATGCGTGATCTTCAGAACCGATGCGAACGCGTAAGTTACCCCTCGTCTCCCTATGAACCTCTGCCACGTAGCACAGCAACACCAACTAACAAAATCCTTGTTTCCTCCACAGGTTGTCGAGCTCGAAATCTCTCTTGATGAAACTCGCGAACAGTACAACAACGTGCTACGCACCTCCAACAACCGCGCTCAACAGAAGAAAATGGTCTTCCTCGAGCGCAATCTCGAACAACTCACCGTCGTGCAGCGGCAGCTCGTCGAGCAGAATTCGAGCTTGAAGAAGGAGGTTGCGATTGCGGAGCGCAAGCTGATTGCGCGCAATGAGCGGATACAGAGTCTGGAGAGTTTACTCCAGGACTCGCAGGAAAAACTCACGGCTGCGAATCATCGGTATGTGGTCCCGCCCCGCCATCATCATCAACATTATCCTTCCCCCTCTGTCGACCGCTCTGTCCTATGGAATCTTCTATGAATTATTCCAACCCAAAAAATCATCGTCATCATCATTGTCGTCATACTAATCACCTGGCTAGATTCGAAGCCCAACTCACAGCCGTCAAGGAGCGTCTCGAGGCCGCAAAGGCAGGATCAACACGCGGCCTGGGCTCTCCTGCTTCGGGCGCAAGCTTTGCCTTTGGAGGCGGCGTTGGCTCGCGCATCGCGAAGCCGCTTCGTGGCGGCGGTGGACCCGTTCAGGACGGTCCTGTGCTGCCTGTGATTGGCAACTTGCAAAAGGACGGCGAGGGCGAGGCCAAGGGCAAGCGGACGAGTTGGTTCTTCAACCAGAGGTAGGCGCGTGCGTGTGGGTGGGAGTCTGTAGGCGAAGAGTAGGAGGAGGAGTGGGTTGGGGAGGGGGTCTTTGGGCGCGAGGTGTGAGGAGGGTAAGGAGGAAGGAGAGGAAATGAGAGGAAGGAGGGAAACGAGAAGGAAGGAAATGACAGAAAAGAAAGGAAAGAAATGAGACGAAATGACAGGAATCAATGGGTCATGCGAAATGCCACACGCCCCCCGCTCCCTCCTTTCTTTTCTCCTCACACACCTCTGCTTTGCTCATGCATGGCCACTTTTGGCTTGTCCAAACTTCTTCACCATGCACATTCAACCTAGCTATGGAAAATTAAACATGTAAAAACTCGTTGTGCTTTTTGGTCTTTGCTCTTGAGTCTTTTGGCGTTTTGTGTTTTGTGTGCTTTTTTCAGTCCCCCAGATGGAAATGAATATAACCAAGTTACCCCATCCGTTTCCCCTTGCCAATTCAGGATTGGGAATTCGTGCGGATTTTTTGGGTTGGGTGGGATGATTTAGATTTTTTTTCCCTTTGTTGACTTTTTGTTATTTTGGCTTTAAGGGGGGGGGGGGGGGGGGGAAATAGGGAGGTAGTGTGGTGGTGTGGGATGTGCGAGGAGAAAGAGAGAGGCCTTCACCCTTTACGAACAAAGTATTCTCTCAAAAACACAGCTCAGTCCAGAACCATACAGCCATAGAGTTAAAAACAATACCACAGTTCCAACCCCTCCTCTAAATTACCAAATCTGCAAAATTTCACTTCTTTCCCCTGCATGTATAGAATCCACTCGTGATTTCTGCAACTGTAGTGTCTAGTAGGACACACGAGTATCGTCTTTTTTTCTTGTGATTGTTAGGGTACAGGCACTAGTATGTGGTGCAGGTTGGCATATTATTCCTGTTGATCGCGTCTGGAATTTTTTTGTTAGAAATATATTTAGAAAGCTGGTTGAGGGAAATTGTCACGGGATAAGATAACAGACTTCTGTACGTTGGATGGGAGTGAATAAGTAAGAGGAGCTCAGGGGTGGGGTGTGAAGTAATATATCTGGGTAAAGAACAACTCGCTCTTATATGCCAGGTGGTTGAGGAGGGTTAGGTGTTCTGGGCAGGAGCTGGAGCTGGTGCATTGTATCAGGGCGACTACGGGTGAATTTATTAATCTCGATCATTTCATGTATTTTGGTGTTTCAATGGCGAGTCGGGAGGACTTATCATTCGGTATCCAGGCCATTCAAGTCAATCAAGTCAATCAACCCTATAATCGAGAACCCCCAGTACTCGCTCCAAATCGGTCTTCACAGACAATTCCGACATGAAAAGCCTATCTAGCACTCCACCGCCTGTTTCTGCAACATCTCCCCACTCTCACTCTCAGCCTGCAGTCCCGCCTTTGCCGGCCCACAAAGCTGCACACCATGACAACTAAACCTACTGCCATGAACCGGGCAATCCCAACTCTTTTCAGTGCTATTCCACGTGATGACACCATGTAAATGCGGGCAAATAGCACTGAACTTGTGAACCTGACCACCTTCATCCTTGTACACGGCAAGTGGTTTCGAAGTCTTGGTATTGAGCACACCACCCTCACCCGGGACCAAGTCTTCGATATCCGTGATGTCGCTCTGGGCGAACCGCTTGTATTTTGCGTTGATCTGGATATCGTGGGTTATCATCGAGGAAAGCGATTTGGCAATCGAAGCGACACGACCAGGGTCGTATGCAGTAATCCACGGGTTGGGCTGCTCGGTGATGCAGTCGGCAATGAGTTTACCAGCTAGTACACCGTGGGTGAGACCGTTGCCCGAGTCGCCAGTGATGATGTAAATGTGCTTGTTACCCTGATTCTTCCCGATAAAGGCCATGTGATCGACGGGTTCAAAGATCTGGCCACTCCATTTGTAGTCGATGGTTGTGGCCTGGGGGAAACGAGCGCGTGTCCATTCTTCGAGCTCGTGAAAGGGCGTGACGGTGTTATCCTGGCCGACTTTGTGGTCGCCTCCACCGACGACCATGTAATCATCCTTTTCATCGCATTCGGTCAAACGAATGTATTTGTAGACATCTGCGGAGTCGTAGATGAGTGCATCTTCAACAGAGCCCTTTGGGACACGGATGGCGATACAGTAGGTGCGGTAGTACTCCTCTTCTGCAATGACAGAGAGCTTTTGGAGAGGCACACAAGTGGCTTCGACAGCGTCTGCACATTTGATTGTGTGCCCGTCCATTGTCTTCACATACACGTTCTTGTGTCCCATGCCCAAGATCTCGACACCCTTCTCCTGCAAATCAATGCATCGCGTGTTTGTATAGCAAGAGAAGTTTGCTTGTGTCTTGAGGAATTCCAGAACACCGGCGACATACTTTGTCGGGTGGAAGGTGGCCTGCTGAGGGTAAATCACAGCATCAGTCTGATCGATATTACCCTCCCATCCTCTCAGCTTAAATCCAGGCTTGTACTCGGTGGGAATACCAAGCTCTTTGGCTTTCATGCCTTCTTCAACAATGACCTGCATATCAGACTCATGGTTTTTGGAGCTCTTCGGGTACTGCGAGAAGTCGTAGGCGGGCAGATGACGGTATTCACATTCAATGCCCAGTTGTTTCGAAATCTCACCAACACGGTTCAAAGCCCATGTGTGAGATTCAGCAGCTGCCTTTGCTCCCTTGTCGCCATGCTTGCTCGCAATTGCCGGATAGCCATCGTCAAGATCGTTTGCGAGATGGCCACTCGTGCGTCCCGTTTCACCCGAGAGTACCTCGCGAGCTTCAATTAGTACGACATTGAGGCCTCGAGTGACAAGCTCGTAAGCTACTGATACACCCGAGATACCAGCGCCAACAATGCAGACGTCAGTTTCGAGGTCACGGTCGAGCTTGGAGAACCTGGGAAGGCTCTTGTAAGGCAGACGATGAATCCACACAGGATCTGTTTCTCCACTGGTGAACATGAAGTGCTTTGAATCGGACACGTGTGCCGTCGCAACCTTCGCGTCAGTTGCCATGGTTGTTTATTGTCTGGTGATTGAGTGTCCAGCTGCTCGCTGCATACGCGGTGTGAGATGTAAGAATTGTGCTGAGAACAATACTGATTTCCTTCTGAGGAGACTGAAGGAAACAAGATGAGAAGCAAACGATGTTAACACGATGCGTCAACCCTACAGATAGCCAGTAATGATGACGACTTCATGTAATGATCCTATTACCATTGGCTAGACTGCTGGAGTAGATGATAAAGGATGTCTTGGTGTTGTTTGTTCGTACGTCACACCATCGTCAACAAACATCACCATCAGCCCCTCGGCGAGGAAAGCATGCCGTACGATATCAGCCCGAAGAAAAGGGATATTAGGAGAGATAAATGTGCACGGGGATCAAATTGCTTTTATTTGCTGATTAGAGACGAAATAGACCGACCTGATCGAATAGATATGCAGTGTGGGAAGGTGGTTCGAAATGCAACGCCACGCAGCGCGTCACGTTCGCACGTGACTGAGCAGCAGAACAAAAGGGATCTAGAGAGAAAGCAACTGCGACTCACCAGTCTTGAAAAGAACTGAGGCAAGGGATTACAAGGATAAGGAGAGATGGATTTGCGCGCAATACTACCGCTTTTCCAACAGCTTTTCTGCGACATCTCGCAGAGCAAACTTCTTGATTTTGCCACTCCCTGTCAGCGGTACCTCAGCCTCGCAGTCTTCCCCAAGCCAGAAGACATGAACGGGTGCCTTGTGTCTACCAAGGACTTTCCTAACCCAATTCTTTACTTCTTCCAGGTCGGGCTTCTCTGTGCCTTTTTCGTGCAGTAAGAAAGCAGCAGGTACCTCGACGTAGCGAGGATGTGACACACCCACCACGATGGCGCGGACGATGGACGGGTGCTCCACGAGACGTTCTTCAATCTCAAGAGGGTAAATATTTTCACCGCCTATGCGTTGTCAGTAACCCATTCCCAGCCAGAGGAAAACATGAACCTACCTCGGATAATAATATCCTTGAACCGGCCCGTGATTGTACAGTAACCGTCGACATCCAAGACAGCTTCATCACCAGTATGCAACCATAGCTCGCCTTGCTCATCTCGAACGAGGAGCTCCGCAGTCTTCTCAGGATTCTCCCAATACCCTCGACAAACTTGATACCCGGCAACGCAAAGTTCGCCGCGCACACCGATAGGAACAACTCTATCGTTATGATCTACAATCTTGACACGGGCGTGTGGGAGCACGGTACCTACAGTTGTCAAGCGTGCATGCAGCGAATCCGTTGTGTGCGCATTGAAGACGGTAGGACTGGCCTCTGTGAGACCATAACTTGATGTGAAGTCAGTCATACCGAGTTCATTGACCATGCGTTCCATGAGCCAGCGTGGCACTGGGCTACCTGCTACGATACCAGTACGCAGGTCTGATCTCCAATCAGCCGGTCGCTCCACGTCCATGATTGACTCCATCATTGCTGGGACACCATGTAATGCTGTACAGCGTTCTTCGGAGATGGCACGCATGGTTGCGGCGGGATCAAATGATTCGGCGGGGTAAACAATCTTTCCACCATGTGTCAGTGTTGCGAGGAGACCGAGAGTGAGACCAAAACAATGGAACAGAGGTGGTGGGCAGCAGAGGGTATCTGAAGGTGTGAGATCCATGCGGTCACCGATGAAGCGGGAGTTGTTGATGAGATTACTTAATTGTGTTAGAATTTATAATAGTGAAATGCAAGTAGACATACTGATGCGTTAACATGGCAGCTTTTGGATTACCGGTGCTCCCACTTGTGAACTGGAGATTTGCAACATCGTGGGGACTGACTATGCCGTCGAATATATCGAGGATGTGATCTGGAATGCTTTCCGCCTCTTGGATAAACTCTTCGTATTTTATGAAGTCGCTGTATTGTCCCCGGATTAGACATACAGTCTTCAAGTCGGGCAAAGTTGAAGAAAGGTCTTCTTGGTGGAGCTTCTCTAGCAATGGTCCGTTATCGAATCGAGAGATTGTAGGTGTTGTGAAGAGTGCTCGGCATTCTGCAAAGGTCAGCTCAGAGTCCATCTGATTGTAGTTTCATGACGCACTTGTATGTCTCAGAGCGTACTCCATCTCGGTCGCTGTGTAGGTATTGTTGAGCGTGACACATATCGCGCCAACCCTCGCACAAGCGAAGAACAACGCAATGTACTTTTCACAATTGCCACTCATAATTCCAATCCTGTCTCTCGGTCGGACGCCATACTTCAGTAGAGCTCTTGCCAAAAGATTGGATTCGTTCCACAACTTTTGATACGTCCATCGTGCACCTGTCCATGGTATGACGACGGCCTCATTGTTAGGATATGCTGCACTTTGTTGCGACAGTAATTGTGACAGTGTTAGTTGTAAAAGGGGAGGGTCGAGAGGGCCAGCGACCAGAGAGAGGTTAGGGTATGGCGGGAGAATGTATGGATCGATTTGCAGGAGGGTCTGGTTTAGACGCTGTAGCGCATCTTGTCGAGACTGATCATAGATGTCGGCCATCTTATCAGATCAATCTCTTCCGACACTGAACGCTTAGTCGTACTTTTGCACTAATCACTGAAGATTCTCGATTGCCCAAAAGGAAGACCTCGCGGTGGTTTGGTTGTAACAGAAGTGAAGGGCTGACTTAGACAGTGAAAAGCGCACAAGGAGAATACTAGAGAAATGATAGCATACAGAAATATCCACAGGCAGTCGAGTAGTTGAAAGTGAAGTTTGGCTGTACAGATCATTGCCATGCTTCGTTGTGAACGAGAATGGATCGAAAGTGACGGCTGCTCGCTGATGGCTCGGATCTAAGTGTACCAACTGGCTAGCTGGCCTGGCCTTTTCGTCGTAGCTCTTTCTTCGCCGTAAGTAATTTGAATGCGTCGTCGCTGTGGAGCTTCACGTACCAGACCTTGCGCAACGGCAGATTCCATGGCCCGACATTCCACCAGGCCTCCCACTCTTTTCAGGTAAAACGCCGCTGTCATCATTCTGGAATCTGCTAGCAGCAACCGTCAAATGATGAGCAAAAACGTCTCTCGTCCGGGAGATGATCGGCCCCTGTTGCCATAGTGGAGTCAGTTCGGATGTTTGCGAGGAAGCTTGTGAAAGCAATACGGGGCGGCCCTAATCCGGGCATATGCTACGTGCAAGGGTCGGCCTTTGATCTCATCTGATAAGATTAAACCAGGCCATCGCGATATCGGAACTTACTCTTGAAAGTGTGTGACTGAAGAAATTTTTATCAGATGGAGCAGTGACTCGTGCCACCTTGCAGCTGGAGAGAACGGGGAATGGTTGGCATGGAGGCGCAGTTTGCTCTTACATGATATTAACTAGTTGGCCCCATAATGATGGTGGCCCTTTGGCCAGAGCGTCCTAGTGAAAGGTCGGACAATTTTCAACGGGACATGGATGGACCTTGAAATATTGGAGTGGTACCTCAAACTTTGTTGTGGTAGTAGGAACGCTTACAGGGACATCGAGTAAGTACAGTAGGAGTTCATGCTGAATCGCCGTTACGTCTTCCCACTGTAACATTTCACCGTAAAGACTAGTGCCTTCCCCTGCATCCAAAAAGCAGACTTAGTGGATACACCTCATACGACATGCTGACAGCTATAACATGCTACATACTACGTAGGTACATACCATGGCCTGTATGGTATGTACATAGCTGACGGGTGGGGTCAAGCAGGGTACACGCTATTCGCCCTGGACATGAAGGATCTGATAAATTCTTTCTCGCTGCGACGTGCAGAGAATGGCTGAATGGCTGAATGGCTGAATGGCTGACGCCAGGACGGACATGGGGCTTGCTTAAGGTTATCTGATCCGCGCCCTGCATATTCCGAAGTCGTAGCGTCCCTTTTTTTCATTGGTCGCGATGCATGGTGCCATGACGTCGGCTCCAAGTTGTAGCGCACTACATCGCGATCGAACCGGTAAACACCGGATTCGAAAACTCTCTAATCAGCGCCGGAATGTCGTCTCGGCAATTGCACAGAATTGAAGTCTCAGCGCTTTGGTGGCCACCGAGAATCACAGAAAGTGGCAACACTACAATGTGTCGAATCAGTTCAAGAGTGGTATGTATATACAGGTAAGGCTGTAATTCCAAAAAAAAAAAAAAATTAACATCAAATAAATGGTTCCAGTTAGAGCTTTGCCAGTGCATCCAGGCTGGGTCGAACTTTCCTTTCCCCGTCCCATACAAATGGACTCAACATGAAGAACTTTTCTCTGTTGACCATCATGAGTGCGCTTCGTTTATGAGGCAGATCCATGAGTTTCTCAACATGAAAGCCATGGGCAAAGTCGTACGCCAGTACGGTGCTGCTTGTAGCCGATGGCTCGCCTACCAAGTTCCAGGTGCGTGGCTCGTCAAGAAACATGTAGTGCATCAGACCAGACCACCAGGCGGAGACCCTATAAGGACCTCTAAACCTGATATCCCCCACGAGAGAATGTCTACCGCGGTCATATGGTGATGACTGGTAATGCGCCCCCATATGATCTTCCTGTGCCAGGTGTCAACATACTGTGCCTAAGGCTACTTCAAGTCAAGTGACACTCACCATGGCCCAATAGACCTCGAAGTAGGCAAAGAAAATGTCGTCAAAAGCAGCAAACATGGTCAACACGTGGGGGTCCTCATGCAGCTTTCGGAGATACTCGCGGTGCTGATCCAGTGTTCCAGTCTCGTTCCATCCTGCAGCCACACGCGGGTCGTTTTGCCAATTGTGGAACAGACTAAGATGCTCGCTGTTGGTGTAATCGAGAGCAACCATGGTGAAGTGCTCCTTCAAATGGGGTATCCATCGGCTGTAGATGATTGATCCAGGCTCAGGTTTTGGTTCGCGGACGGGGTGCATAGTATGCCGTGGTACAGCTGGAAATTGAGTACAAGGTGCGTTCTGGTAAGGAAATGGAGGGTATTGTCTGGTAATCGGCTTGCCAGTAGCATCAAGGTGCGGTGCCCAAACTGGGCGAGCTCCAAAGGGTGAGCCGGCCCCTTGCCAGAAGGTACCCCTTAGCAGCAAGTATCCATCGTGTGGTGCTAATGTACTCGAGGCCCGGGGGTGGGGATGGAATAAGCCGGTTGCAAACAGTTCCTCAGCCAAGGCTTCAGAATCTCGACCAGAGAAGAGTACCCGGAAATTTTCAACCAGAGGATGCAGGGAAACCAATGCATAGGCAATGAGCCACAGCTGCGGGACTGATGGTCGGTCTCCAGTCCAGGTAATAGTCAAATAAGGTGATCGTCGCGTGCGCGCCCACGAACTGTTGTCGCCAGTTGGGGGTGCTTCTTCCTTACTCAAGACTCCAAAATCGGTAAAGGATACTGTATCGTTGTGCAGGGGCATAGGTGGAGCGGTCTCTTTCCCAGTCGTGTTCGCTGAGGAAAGGGATATCTTGTTGCATATGGGCTGGCCCTTAGTAGCAACGTTGTTGATCGCGAACGCAGTAAGATATGGGTGTGGCAGTTTGAGTACAAACGGCTCTGCTGCTGCAATTGACCTCGCTTGTTGTGCCATGATGTATGTCGTCTGAGTTTGTCGAAGGGACCAAAATGTAGAAGTCCTAGGATCTCAAATCAATTGCCGCGGCTGCATGAACGTGAGGGTATTCAAATCGTTCAAGATGGCATCGTTCAAGCCCAAGCCGAGGTCAAGTTCATGGTCCTAGGAGATTTTAGCCCACAGCATTATGCAGGCTTAGATGGACAAGATACTCTTCGATCGGTACAGTTTCTGAAGAGCAGGGGGCCTGGTTAGGCGCATTCGCAAGGAATTTCCGAGTGGGTAGTTGGTCACACCACACTAAGTGGGTCTTGGTCTGGCAGCCACATTGCTATGCACGCCAGCGTATCAATCATGCTGCATGTTTTAGCACTTCTCGCGTATGGATTACGCTAGACATCGATGACATTGTGCTATTATTTTTGTCGGAAAAGCATGGGTCAATGTTGTATAGCCCTGTAACTTACTGAGGTCCGTAAATCGTTGATCAGAGCATATCTTCGTGGCGGTAGACAGTGTTCCTTTGAAGCCTTCTCTTTATATCAACATCTAAATCAGTAACCTTGATAGCTTCCTTGAATAGGACGACCCATCTTTATCATGGCCTCAACCGAACGATCTAGCAGTCATCTGGACACCACAGCCATTTCAGCGTCTCCGGATGCGACACCAAGCTACGATCTGGTAAGCATCGGCTTCGGAGCTGCTCAGTTAGCCACAGCGATCGCGAACCAGGAAACTCGAAAACCGCTTAGCACACTCTACCTCGAGCGCAAACCGTCATTCTCATGGCATACGGGATCGCATACAGCCAGAACCCGCATGGAAATTCCCTTTGTTTATGATCTCGCCACTCTCCGCAACCCGAGGACGTCCTTCAGCTATGTCAACTATCTGCTGGAGAAGAAACGGTTGGTCGAGTTTGCCAACTCTGATCGACTGAATCCTCTCCGCGAGGAATTTGACGACTACATGAGATGGTGCGCCGAAAAATTCAAAGACCAGGTTCGCTATGGCAGCGAAGTCGTAGGTGTAACTCCTGAGATGGACAACGGTGTCGCCAAAGGGTGGAGAGTTGCCGTTCGAGATAGTCAGGGTAAAACATATGCGGTACGCGCAAGGAATATTGTAGCACCTTCGCCATCACAGCAGAAGCCTGTAGCATCACCTCCCCTGACGACAATCGACTTCCTTTCCGGACAAAGGATCATTCCCATGAATGAATACCCTGCGCGAAGAGAAGAGCTGCGAGGTGCAAACGAGCCACGTCTCAACATCTCTGTTATTGGCTCTGGGCCACAGATGGCGGAAGTACTCAATGACATTCTTTCATGCCCTCGTCTGGGAAACATTACAGTGGTGACCGAGGATGAATCCTTGGCTCCACTGACAGTGCTCAACGACCAAGAGCCAGCACAACCACAGTTGTGCTCCATATGGGCGAAACCCACTGCAGACAAGAAATTGTCAGTGGCCGGAGCTTCCGGGCTGGTCCAGGAGATTTACATGCGCGGATACGAAAAACACGTCCGAACCAAGGGTGAATACAGGCTTCGCGTCCTCATCGGCAGAGACGCTCGCGCTACTTGCTCCAAGTCCGATGTCATCATCCGAGATACTGCTGTCAGCTCCATGTCCACCGGGAGCCTCCTGGAGAGCTTGGATGGCCTGATTCTTGGCTGTCACCAAAGGAGCGAGAGCCTGGAGGAGGTGCAGTTCAAGCGAGGCGCCGTTGCCGATGGCTGCAGACTCTGGCTAGTCTCATCAAAATCGGAAGGAGGACGTACGCTGGCAAAAGACGTAGCCCTTGCTGCGGGTGAAGTCGTGCGCAAGGTGTCGTCAGTGGCTCAGGCGTCACAGGCCGGGGTGGTTCAAGTGCAAGCTCGGATGTAGGGCGGATGGGTCTCAAGCCCTTTGCTTAATGAGGAATAGCGTTGACACTAGTCCACTAGCAAAATTTCTTCTATCCACCATCTAATCTAATCTGATCAAGTTGCTCAGTGGGTGAATGCAGACACACGACTAATGACGCGACTCCACCATCACTCGATACTTTTCCCAAGCTCCACCTTCAATACCACCATGCATACCGACGCTATAGGCTATTCCATTTCACGTGACGCTATGCTGGTCGATGCTGTGCCACTAAACTCCCCTGCTGCACCCACATCCACTATGTCGAAGAAGGCAGTCGTGACTTGGAGGGCCCAATCCATCCTGGTGACTCTTTTGCTGAGCCTGTCATTGTCTTTGCCAAATCTCATGATCTTTTTGAACGCAGAGCAGCTATTCCTGAAATACAGCTTGTGGACAAGATGGCTGTCAAGAAGAGCCCTTCAGCGTCCATCAAGTCCTTCTTCAGTTTCATCCAACTCCTCTTTTATGCAGATCCAACATGGCTAGACAAGCTGCTCGTTTTCGTTGGCTTCATAGCTGCAATCGCTGCAGGCGTTCCTTTTCCCCTCATCGGTATTGTCTTTGGGCAATTGGTCGACGAAATCAACGACGCAACATGTAGCAACGAAGCTGGTGCTGGCACGGGGGACATGTCCTCCATTACGCCCAAAATTCTGTTGCTGGTGTACATTGCTATCGCTAGCTTCTTCTGCATCTACACCCACCTCGTGTGTTGGAACTTGGCATCCCAGCGGCTAGCCCAACGAGTTCGCGATCGCTACCTCAGGAACCTCTTACGACAAGACATGGCCTTCTTCGACAACATCCAATCTGGAGAAGTGTCATCTCGGCTCAATGGTGATGTCCAGGCAATCGAGAGCGGTACCAACGAGAAGGTTGGTGTTGCGCTCACGTGCGTATCCTTCTGCGTGACCGCATACATTGTCGGTTTCATCAAGAACGCACAGCTTGCTGGCATGCTAGTCGCACTAATCCCCGCATTTCTTCTATCGGCAACGATTGGCGGTCACTTCGTGGGCAAATACAGCACGAAGCTTGGCCAGAGTTTCGGATCAGCAAGTGCGATTGCTTCTGAGGCATTGACTCACGTTGGTCTGGTACATGCTCTTGGTGCTGATGTAAGACTGGAAGAGAAGTTTCGAGGTCACTTGGGAGTTGCACGAACACAGGGTATCAAGAAAGCGACTGTTGCTGCCGTGCAGGCAGGTTTGCTGTACTTCATTGCCTTCTCAGCCAGTGCCTTAGGTTATTGGCAAGGTAGCCGTAAGGTCGCCGACGCTATCGAGGGCAAAGGCAATGCCACAATCGGAGAGATCTATACAGTCACCTTCATCCTTCTTGACGGTGAGTTATATACATCACAACTCGACTCTTTGCTGACACCATTCCCACAGGTGCTATCGTTCTTAGTCAGATTGCTCCAATGATGCCTCTGTTTGGTGGTGCTCTGGCTGCTTTCGCCCGTGTACGCAAAGACATTGAAACAAAGCCAACCATCGACAACACTGAGACAAGTGCTGAGAAACCGCCATCTGTTAAAGGAGAAATCGAACTACGTGACGTCGAATTCACGTACTCCTCCAGACCGGACCATCCTGTTCTGAATGGCATGTCTTTGAAGTGCGATGCAGGTGAGCTTACTGCCATCGTTGGTCTTTCTGGCAGTGGCAAGTCAACTATCGCAAGCTTGATCACCAGATTCTACGATCCGCAAAGTGGAGCTGTCTTCCTGGACGGCAAAAACCTAAAAGATATAAATATCAGGAATCTACGAGGATTCATCAGTCTTGTTCAGCAAGAGCCTTCCCTCCTTGATCGATCTATTTTGGAAAACATTGCTCTAGGTCTAGTAAATTCCCCACCGCATGCACATCTAGAGAAAGTTTTACTGAGTGGGGTTCTTTCCCAAGTGGCTGAAGACGTGCGGGGAGGAGAAGACCTCCTCAAAGCAGCAGAGAAAACAACCCCAGAGGTTGTTGAGATTGTTCGATTGGTTCAGCATGCGGCAGACCTCGCAGATGTTGCTATCTTCATAGGCCGCTTAGAATTTGGGTTCGCGACTTTAGTTGGTTCAAGCGGAAGTCTGGTGAGTAAAGTCCTGTTTATTTCTTTTTGGAATTCGGTATTCTCTCGAGAGTAACCCATCACAGAGGTCTTGATCAAGATTGATAGCTGCAGGTGTCTCTCCATCCCGCCATATTGCCTCAGTGACTGCAACGCTAACCAAAATATCACAGGTCAGTGGTGGCCAGAAACAAAGAATTGCGCTTGCGCGTGCCCTTGTGCGGGATCCCAAGATCCTCATTCTGGATGAAGCTACTGCTGCACTCGACTCGGCAAGTGAACAACGTATTCAAGCTGCAATTGAACGAGCATCGCAAGGCCGAACAGTCATCTCTATTGCTCATCGCCTCTCCACGATTCGAAATGCTTCCAAAATTGTGGTCATGAAGAAGGGCAACATCATTGAACAGGGTACACATGATCAACTAATGAGCCTGGACGGATCGTATGCAGATATGATACGTCTGCAGACGGTCAAATCGAATGAAAATGGAGCATCAAGCTCAAGAACAAGTCTTGATTCTCATCACGTCGATAGGATATCGAATGAGAAGGATCCATTGATTTTGCCCGAGGTTGACATAACTCCTGCCTCAGATCACGAAAAGAGTTCACTCGCGGAGCCGATCAAAGGATCAGTAATTGCTGGCTCCATTCGCAAGACCATGGGGCCACTGGTGCGACCATATACTCTGCTTGTGTTCGTAGCCTTTTTCGCTGCTCTAATCGTTGGTGGTCAATACTCTGGCTCTGGGCTTCTCTTCGGTAACATCATGGGTGTGATGTCACCTTGCAATCGGCCGGACTACATCCGTTCGCAAGGTGCATTCCTTTCTGGGATGTGGTTCATGCTCGCTTGCATAGAGTTCCTTGCAAATTTCGCTAGCTGGGCAGTCTTTGGCTTAATATCTGAGCGACTGATCTACAAAGTTCGCAATATGTCGTTGCAGACGCTCTTGCGGCAGCCATTACAATGGCACGAATCTGACGCCCGGAGTCCTTCCCAGCTTTTAGAGTATATCACCAAGGATGGCAATTCGCTTGCTGGGTTTAGCGGCTCTATTATCGGTACGTAGGAAGCTTGACTTACATATAACCTTGTATCGGACCGAGACAAAGGCTGACCCTGCTCATAGGAACACTATTCTCTGTCTTGGTCAACTTCGTAGCTGCCATCGTACTGTCGCATATCGTTGCTTGGAGAATCGCTATAGTCTGTCTTGTTATGGTTCCGCTTCTGCTTGGAGCTGGGTACATGCAACTCCGAGCCATCTCACAATTTGCAGTCAAGCACGCTGGCGCCTTTTCCTCGTCAATCGGCGTAACCATTGAAGCGGTCTCAAACATCAAGACAGTACATGCTCTGTCTATCGAGGACGAGATCCTGCAGACTTATAGGCGGTCGTTGCAGGCCCCACGGAAAGAAATGGTACAGCAGAGTTTCAAAACCAATGTATGGTTGGCGGTTGCAAATTCCTTTGGAGGCTTCATTTACGCTTTCGCCTATTGGTGGGGCTCCAAGAACATTATCGAGGGACGGTATTCTCAAACGGAATTCTTCATCATCCTGATCTCCATGCTTGTTTCCGCCCAACTGTGGGGACAGCTCTTCACCCTTGCCCCGGAAATCTCCAAAGCCAAGTCTGCCATCTCCCGGATCTGCGGGCTAATCGAGCTTGGCAAGGATACCCCAAATTCGACGTCTCGACGTTTGACTACAGAGCTCGAGTATAGTGAGAAGGAAAAAGATATTGAGGCCATGGCCGACTCAACCCCCCCATCATCTGCAACAGGTGGAGCTCGAGTCGTATTTCGCGATGTACACTTTGCATATCCTGCGCGCCCTGGAGTTCCCGTGTTGACATCATTATCTCTTTCCATCCAGCCCGGACAGTTTTGTGCCCTTGTCGGTCCTTCGGGTGCTGGTAAAAGTACCGTCCTAGCTCTGCTAGAACGTTTCTATACGCCTTCTTCAGGAAGCATTGCGATCAATGGTATGGACATTTCACGCCACCACGGTGTTTCCTTTCGAGACGATATTGCATACGTTCCGCAGGAGAATGTGTTGTTTCAAGGAAGTATCAAATTCAACATCTCGCTTGGGGCACGACCCGGTCACGAGCCTTCAGATGAGGAAATTCAAGAGGCATGCAAGCTCGCGAATATCCATGATACAATCGTTGAGCTACCCCAAGGTTATGACACTGAATGTGGCTCGAATGGAAACCAGCTTTCTGGTGGACAAAGACAGCGCCTCTCCATTGCGCGAGCTCTCGTTCGAAAACCGAAACTTCTCCTCTTAGACGAGAGTACAAGCGCTCTCGATGCAGAGAGTGAAAGAGCTCTGGAGTCTGGACTTGAACGTGCCGTCAAGGGGCACGGTGTGACAGTCATCGCCATTGCCCATAGGCTCAGGACCATTGCGAGAGCAGATGTCATTTTCCTTGTAGAAGGCGGCAAGGTCGTTGACCAAGGGCGCCACGAGGAACTTGTACAACGGAGCGAAAGCTACCGTATCAATGCTTTGCATCAGATGCTGGATTGACCTTTTTTCAATGTTTATAGAATATGTACTTTTAGAAAATACCAGTATTGTCTCATGGCGCAAGCTCTACCTCTTGCGGCAGTAGATCTACTTTGTTCGATGGGACCCAGACATACAGCGCAACATCCTGATCCTCCTTGGCGCCATTCGTCTTCTCTGGCCACATGTCTTCCGACTTATGGATTGGTCTTTCTTTCAGCAGCTTGCAGCCCATCTTCTCATATAGCCTGCGGGCCTCTTTCGAACTTTCTATATAGATGGGCAGGTTTGTCTGTTCTGCTATACTCATCCCAAACCTAAACAACAGCTCGCCAACACCACGCCGGCAGTGATCTGGATGTACAGCTATGACATGGCAGTATAAATATCGCTTGTTTCCCCACAGTCTTTCTCGTACATCCCAAAGCGGGCTTATCAGCGCATCGGCACGGTCTTTTTCTTTTCCATGCAACCAGGAAATCTCGCCCTTTTTCCAATCGCTAGGAGTAAGGTATATGTCCCAGAGCGCCATACCGACGACTTTGTCCGTCTCGGTATCAACACATTTCACAGTGTATTGCGTGGGAGTGGTCTGCCAGTATTGCAATGTGTTTTGTGTATGTACTTTTCTGCAATTTGTTAGCCGACCATGGCCTGCAGCACAACGGCCCATGTGCAATACAATCACGTGTATAAGAATGATATTTTCATCACTAAAAGCACACACCTGAATTCAGAATCGGATTTGGTCAAGTCATCCTCGGTGGCTGAAGGAAAAAATGCCCGCGTGACCGCATTATTCTTGAACGCAGCAAAGTATGCATCGTATACAGGACCGATGTCTGCAGCCAATGCAGGCAACACTACGAAACCCATGGCCAAGCGGAAGAGAGGTCTGAGATGATCGAGTCAATTACCAGCTACCTCTTCGGTCCGTTATGCATTCCTCTTCACAAAACATACCGGAGAGGTCTCCGCAGTGACAGTTGGTATTTCGGCACTATGCGACAGCTGCTGACGAAGATTCACTCTGCTCTTATTTTGTTATTTCGGCCCCACGCGACGTGAAGGGAAAGTTCTGACGATATGATTTGTGGCCTGGGACTTTTGAGTCGTGGACGCCTTGATCGCCTGGCCAGCACAACGGCAGAGGGATATGTGGCGTGAAATAGTCAAGCAAAAATGAAATAATATTTCATACTCTGACGGATGTATACGGAAACAGTCAGTGATGCAATCGGACAAAAAAAACCCCGTCTTGTGCCATGCTGCAATTGCTCAAAGTGTCTGGTTCCACAGTTCGATCTAGGTATCGTGGGTCTCCCAAGGGTGCAAAGTTTCATGCTGTTGGCATACATCGATCTCGGCCACGCAACGCGTCAGTCTGTGTTCTCTGAGGTAGGTACGCGCGGGCAACCTTCAAGTTCCATGACGCTGAATCATGACGCCAATGCTGCGATTCAGAGAACAGCAACACGCCACCGACGACCAAGCGCGTGGGGGACTCGCACTCCACGACAACGTCCTATCCGCAGACTGTGCGTCCCCCTCGCAGCACGTCTCCATTAAAGTTATCAGATCCGCTCCAAGCGAAGGCCCTTTCCTGGGGGGCGCAACATTGACATTGCGGGACAAAATGGGGGGGGGGGGGGGGCGATTCAAGGTGCTTGGACGAGAATATGTTGCTCATCCCGTATGTTGGAGAAGAAATTTCCCCAACATGGTGGGTCGTACCGGTTCCTCATGTCGCTGGCTTCACTTGTGCAGGCCTGGGTGCGCGAATAAGATGACATGCAGCGTGCAAGGTACAATCGGCCCGTCTCGACCATCTGATAATGGCGCTGGCTGGCATGGACAAAAGATGTACATGATACTGTGGTGGTTCCCAAGCCATGGCGGCTGCGGCTGGTCTGTGTCGATCTAAGTTGGTGTTCCGAGAAGAGAGGACGGAACGCTTGACGACTTCGCTTGCTAGCGTTCTCCGAGCATCGGCCGTTATCAGATGGAAGCGATCTGCAGGCAGGTGATCGGCTAAGGTGAGCAGCCAGCAGCCAGCAGCCACCCACCACACCTTGTCACCTTGTCACCTTGTCACCTTGTCATCCACCCTTCACATACTCTTAGCACCTCACCTTGCACTGTACCTACTCTACTACTCTACTATGTCACCCTGCAGAGAATGACGTGCACCTTGGCCCAGCCACAAGAGGCAAGTCCGCCTTTGCAGCCCGCATGACTCCTACTCCTACTACCTACCACACTGCTGCATACTGCGACTTATCAGATGCAGTTAGTCGACGCCATTATTCAGGCAGAAGGAAGAAATTTTATCTGATCCGCTCTCTGTGGGGGGTTTGGACGCGCGGGGTGGAGCAACGTCCCATACTGCTAAAGCTCCATACCGGCTGGAGATGCATGGGCTTGCCGCGGTTTTTTACGTGAGATTATGAAGCCATCCGACGTGGGAAGGTGGGATGCCATCGAGATGGACCCTGTATACGCGCCATGATCATGGAAATGACGAGGGCGGATTGTCCGTCGATATGCATTGGCTTGGCCGAGGTAGACTGGTGTTTTTCCCTCTGGGACCCTCATCCTGGCTGCTGTTTGGGATGCTAGCTCTTGAGGATGATGAGTCCGAGGCACAGGTGGAGCGATCGATGAGAACTACTTACTTGCGATGCTCGGCCCATTCCATGAGAAAGCCTGGGACTTGACTCGACAAGCTCAACAGCAGTATCGTTTCTTCCCCAACCCCACCTACAAAGAAGAGCCCGTCAAGTACGAGAAGAGACAGAAGCGCCAAAGCTCAAACATCACAATGCATTTACAAAATGGTGACTCCATCGTACGTTTCGCTGGTGTGCCTGAAGAGCACACTGAAGCAAAGGTCCAGAGCAATGGTGTTGTGATAGTGCCCGGAAATGGCACTAAAGCCACCAACGACAACGAAGCCATACAGAAAAGTACAGCGGCCACTTTGAATGAGGTAGAAATACCGATTCCAGAGGGCCTGGACGCGAATGCTGTACTTGACACAATTCTAACAGCCTGGGTTATACTCGTGCAGAGGTATCAAAGAGATGTCTTCCACCAATTTACTTGGGGTGTCGAAAATGGTGGAGCAAATCAAATACAATGCATACCCACACCCGACCTCGACTTGCAAAATCAGCGGGCTGTTGGGCAACTCGAGTCGAAAATCAGGGACGTGAGATCGAAAGACATCTCCGTTGAGAAGTCTATTTTCTTGAATGACGGAAGCAAAGAAGAGGTGAGCTTTTCTCGTGGAATACGGGGGCCATGCCTGACATGAAAGCAGTGGACATTCCAAGTTTCGCTCGAGGTTCGCAAAGGCTCTCTCCATGCTACCTCGCAATGGCAGCCTCCCACCATGTCCCGACACCAAGCTGTGTCGCAACTTCATTTCTTTGCTTCAACTTTTGATACCCTGTTCAACGACCCCGAAACTTCCATCTCCAGCCTCACATCCATCTCCGAACAGGAGCTTGACGAAATCTGGAACTGGAATACGCCGATGCACCCAGACATCCAGACTTGCCATCACGACATGGTGTCTAAACAAGCCGAACTGAATCCAAACAAGATTGCGATCGATGCTTGGGACGGCCAGTTGACCTACCGCCAAATCGACGACTACTCCACCAACCTTGCCCAGACCCTGCGCTTGCTAGACGACTCCCCAGATCAAATCATTCCCTGTCTCTTCGAGAAGTCACGCTGGACTACGGTCGCTGTGCTAGCTATCATGAAGGCTGGCGCATGTTTCGCGTTGCTCGATCCCGCACAACCCGAAGGTCGACTTCGGACCATCGTGCAACAGGTTAACGCAAAACTGTTCATCTCATCTAAGACTCAATCGTCGCTCGCAGCCCGTATTGCACCATCAGCGACGATCATACCCATCTCGGAATCGAAGTTTGATAAGGTCTATAGTCCGTTTGCAGAACAACAGCCCAAGACCACTCTTCCGCCTGTGTCACCGTCAGCAAATATGTATATTCAGTTCACAAGTGGAAGTACAGGATTGCCCAAAGGATGTCTCATCTCCCACAGTCAGTATACCTCTGGTGCCATCCCAAGAGCACATGCTGTAGGCTATCGATCTCATTCTCGCGTGCTTGACTTTGCAAGTTACGCGTTCGATGTTTGTATCGATTCCATGCTCTGCACACTCGCACATGGAGGAACACTATGCACTCCATCAGAAGACCGTCGAATGAACGATATGAGTGGTGCCATGCGCGACATGCGTGTCACCTTTGCTGGAATGACACCATCAGTTGCGCGAACACTAGACGTCGATATCCTTACTCAGCTAGACTCCATCGCTCTAGGTGGTGAGGGTGTTTCTGCGAGCGATGCAGCCTCTTGGGGTCAGAAAACCAAGGTAGTCAACGCCTACGGACCATCTGAAGCGACTGTTGGCGCGACCATCAACTCCGATGTGGGTGCTAAGCCATATATTACCATGGGTAAAGGCAAAGGTTGTGCCATCTGGCTTACAAATCCCGAAAACCACAATGAATTGGTACCCATTGGAGCTGTCGGAGAGCTTCTCATCGAAGGACCAATTGTCGGTAATGGATACCTCAACAACCCTGCAAAGACCAAGGAAGTATTCATCGAGGACCCAGAGTTTCTGCTCAAGGGAAGCAAGAAGTTCCCCGGTCGACGAGGACGCATTTACAAGAGTGGTGACCTCGTGCGGTATGACCCAGACGGTAACGGTGAAGTCATTTTCGTCGGACGTCAAGATCAGCAGGTCAAGCTTCGTGGTCAACGTATAGAACTCGCTGAGATTGAGTACAATATGCAAAAGCACCTTCCGGCTGATACTCAGCTCGCTGCCGAAGTCATCAAGCCTGGCGGTATCGGAGAGCAGACTCTTGTCGCGTTCCTAGTTGAGCAGAAGAAGAGTGGTATGCGCCATTTGGACGGTCAAACCTTTGGCAGCTTCTCCAACAAGCTTCAAGCTGCTTTGCAAGAGATGACCAAGCAGCTACATATCGACTTACCAGGATACATGGTACCAAGTGCGTATATTCCACTTTACAGGATGCCGCTTCTTGTCTCGTGCAAGACCGATAGGAAGAGGCTCCGTGAAATCGGCAACTCAGTCACCCGTCAGGATCTGAGAAGGTTCAACTCGGCGATAACAGAGAAGAAGGAACCCACTACGGGGATGGAGATCAAACTTGGTCAATTATGGGCAAAGCTTCTAGGTGGCGACGCCGACTTCAGTGCCAACGATAACTTCTTCAGCATGGGAGGTGACTCGCTCAGGGCAATGAGACTGGTCGCTGCTGCGCGAGATGAGGGCGTTGTACTGACTGTGCCGGACATTATGCTCAACCCCACACTCTCGGCCATGGCTGCCAAAGCAAAACCGCTATCCGACGAGGAAACGGATGAGGTCGAAGCGTTTTCGCTTATTAGCAAGGACTGGGATGCAGAGAAAGCAAAGACAGAAACTGCTGCACTTTGCGGTGTCCAGGTTGAGAACGTCGAGGACATCTACCCATGCACACCTCTCCAAGAGGGTCTCATGGCTCTCTCTGCGAAGTTTCAAGATGCATATGTTGCACAACGTGTCGCAACACTTCCAGTTCAAGTAGCAGAGCGTCTGAAGAAGGCCTTTGATACGGCTGTCGAAGGACTACCCGTTCTCCGGACACGCATTGTCAATGTACCAGGACGAGGTCTCTTTCAAGTTGTACTCAAAGATGGACAGCTTGTACGTGAGCATGGGAGCGATGCTGCAGAGTTCTTGCGAATTGATCGCGAAGAGCCCATGGATCTTGGCACCGCTCTCTTCCGATACGGACTCGCAAGAGAAAAAAGAAGTGAGCAAGCACACTTCATCATCACAATGCACCACGCCGTGTACGATGGGTGGTCGATGCCGCTCGTCTTTGACCGCGTCAACCGCGCCTTTAGTGGCTTGGAGACCAACCGGCCAGCATCGTTCAGACATTTCATCAAGTACCTTACCCGACTTGATCCTGCGGAGGCCAAAGACTATTGGAGAGAAAGACTTCACGGTGCCAGCCCTCATCAATTCCCTCCACTGCCTCACAAGGGTTACGTAACCCAGGCCAATTCATTGCTCGAGCACTATGTCAATGTTCCTACCTCTGCGCACTCAAAGTTGACATTGGCCACTATCATCCGTGGTGCATGGGCTCTTGTCTCATCCTTATATATGGGCCATCCCGATATCATATTCGGTGAGACTCTCACCGGACGCTCCGCACCCGTTCACGGCATCGAGCAAATCGAAGGGCCAATGATCACGACCATCCCTGTCCGTGTCCGTCTCAACCTCGACCGTCCCATCTCAGAGTTCCTACACACTGTACATGGGCAGACTGTAAAGCAAATTCCCCATGAACACTTGGGGCTGCAGAATATCCGTCGCTTGAGTAAAGACGCACGTGCAGCATGCGATTTGCGTACGGGTCTAGTCCTTCATCCTAAGGAGGATGAGGATTGGGGCCAAGTCGACATGGAGAATACCCCATCCAACACTTTCCTTCCCGCTGATGACGCCGAGGCTGCACGTGAGGCACTCAAGTTCAACACGTACGCTCTTATGCTTGTATGCACGCTTGATGAGAACGGCTTCTTGGTCATGGCAAGTTTCGACTCAAATTGCATCAGCAAGACGGCTATGGAAAGAGTCCTGGTTGTGCTCAACCGTATTGTTACGGCGTTTTTGGGTAACCCGGAGAGTAAGCTGGGTGATGTAGCAGTACTGGACCCCGAAGAAGAGCATGATGCGCAAGAGTTTAGGCCTAGAGACGCTATGATGGATAGTGCTTTGGGCTTGTCGCCTGTCGACAGTCCCACACAGGAGAACGCGCCTGCAAACGCCTTGTCGCCCAACGGTGAGAAGCTTCGAGTTCTACTGGCTCGTATCCTCGGCATGCCTGAGACAGAGATCAGCCCCAGTGATAGCTTCTTTGAACTTGGAGGGGATTCAATTGGTGCTATGCGACTTGTAGCGGACGCGCGTGCACAAGGTCTGAGCCTGACGGTGGCACAAGTGTTCCAAAGTCGATCTTTGGCTGAGCTTGCTTCTGGCATCTGTAACGAGAAGGAAGACAAGCTTCTTGATCTGCTCAGTCGCATTCTTGGTATGCCAAAGAATGAGCTCAGTGGTAGCGATAGCTTCTTCGAACTTGGTGGAGACTCCATCGGCGCTATGCGACTTGTGTCCGATGCTCGCGCTCAAGGCCTGAACATCACTGTTGCGCAGGTGTTCCAAAGCCAGTCCTTGTCCGAGCTAGCTTCATCTGCCCAGGACGTAGCATCGTCGCAGCCCGAGACCAATGTTGACGCCCCCTTTGCTGCTCTTGGCAAAGATGCCTCACTCTATAGTGCTGATCGCATTTGCGCCTATCTCGAGAACCCAGAGTGGAACATCGTAGACATATACCCTGCTAGACCGCTGCAACAGCTCGCAGTAGAGGGTACAGTTGATCTTCCAAGGTACTCGCTGAGATACGAACTGATCAAGTTCGCCTCACCGATTGATCATCAGAAGCTTAGGGGAGCTTGTCAGAAGCTCGTTGCTCACAATGAAGTGTTGCGCACTGTGTTCGTCCTGGACGATGGCAAGCTGCTCGGTGTGGTCTTGTCGTCTCTCGAAGTACCTTACAGCGAGGTCATCGTCCCCGAGGGAGAGGATATGGATGCTTTTGCCAAGGCGAGAATACAGGAAGACATTGAAGCACCGAAGCCACATGGTTCTTCATTTGTTGCATTCACACTATTCACCAGTCCTTCCACTGGTGCATCAACACTTGCCTTCCGAATCTCACACGCCCAGTACGACGAGATGTGTCTGCCGATCCTCTTCCAGCAACTCTCCGCACTCTATGCAGGCACAGAAGTCCCCGAGACACTGCCATTCACAAAGCATGTCAACCATGTGGTGCTTGACAACATCCCCAAGGCGATGCCATACTGGAAACAACTCCTCTCAGGCTCGCAAATGAGCGTACTCAAGCCAGACGTTCCGCTCACAGAACGCAGAATGGCGGATAGATACCTCGAGTTTGACATTTCGTCTCGCCCATCAAGCATCACAATCGGTTCCTTGCCAACCGCCGCATGGGCACTTGTCCTCTCCAAGCGCCTCGATGTACGTGATGTCGTCTTTGGTGAGGTCGTCAGCGGCCGCAATCTGGGTGCGCAATCTGCCGACCGCATCTTTGGTCCAACATGGCAGTACATTCCGTTCCGCGTGCCCTTTAACACCACCTGGACCCACCTGGACCTCTTGAACTTTGTTCAGAAGCAACACATGGAGTCTGCAGCGTACGAAAGCATGGGCTTCTCTGAGATTGTGGAGAACTGCACAGACTGGGACAGCAAGGCTGTGCCCTGGTTTGACACCGTCGTTCACCAGGCTCCCGCGTGGGTCGAGGAGATGCCGTTTGGCAACGGTGTTGATGCCAAGTTTGAGACGCTATATCCACATGTCGAGCCGCTGCGCGAATGGAAGTGTCAGGCGTTTGTCAAGGAGGGTGGTAAGAAGTTGGGTATTGAAATTGTGACGTATGAGTCTTGGATTGGTGAGGCCGAGCTTGTACTGAAGGAGGTTGGTGAGGCACTGGGTCAACTCATGAAGGGCAATGCGGAGAGGCGAATCTTCAACGACGATGCTGTAAGCGAGGGGGTTACGCAGACCTTGGAAGACTTTGAGGGTGTGATGTGATTTCCACGACTGCCTATCGGAGACATGATTCGATCTGTGATGGTCTAATTTCCCAATCGTAGTCTTGTGTTTGCGTTTCTCAAATACATCTCTTTTTTCACGATCACATCGCACTCGTGGCCGCTGTCGCCACCTTGCTCTTCGTAGCCCTTGAACGGATCCAGCATAGCATATCCACTTCTGACTGTAAGTCTCGTCATTCACCCATCAACCTCGTCCCACACTCTCAATCCAAATGACACACTCGACTCCCCATCAGGCTCCGACAGGTTCGTGTAGCGTTACTCGCACCCCACATCTCGATACAAACGCGGTATGACAGCACCCTCAATGTGCCCTCCAGTATCACGAGATGCAGAGTGTTGAGGTTGCAAGAGCGGCACAATCGAGTCATTGTGTTCGCCGGACGCTGGCAAGACTTCATTCCTTCCTGCCTTCTTTTCTGGCCCTGACGCAACACCAGGCGACATGCTGCAGGCGGTGATATGTATGGGTAATAGCTACCCCGACATTCGACGCTACTGCGTATAAAGTCGCAATCTCCCTTCTACGCTTCCTTGTTGGATTATCTAGCCATCCATCCGGTCCTCAGTCGTGGGGTATACTGCATCGATAATCGCTTCGTGCAGCTTTTGCAACCGGGATATTCTGAGCTTTGTTGCTTTTTGTGGACGGGATTGTATATCGGAGTGTCTTTATACATTAGATTTGATATGTTCAAGATGAAGCAATCCCTTTGCCTTGTCCCCTTCCTCGCTCTCGTCTCCGCCATCCCATCAGTCCAAGTCCAAGCCATCCGATCAGCCACGAGCATCAACTTCGCCGCCGACACTCCGGCCAAAAACTGCGAGCCGGGCTTGATATACTGCTTGAACCAAATCATTTCAGACCTCGGTACTGCATCCCCCCTTCTATATCCCCCTCCCCCACAACTAACCCCTACAAACCCAGGCGTCGAGCCCCAAAACATCCTACACCAATACTGCGACACGCAATTCACATACGACGCGCTGTCGTGCCACGCATGCACAAAAGTGCCCGTCCCGCTGCCAAACTGCGCGGCGTCGCCGGGCGCTTGGAACTCTGCGTTTGAGTGCAAGAGTGGGCAGACGTATGAGTTTTCGGTGAGGTGTGAGAGGTGGTGTGAGGCGGGGATGTGTGTTTGAGGGATGAGAATTGGTAGTGGTATTGGTGATTAAAGGGGTGGGTCAAGGTGGAAGGACATGGGGCAATGCGATGAACTGTCATGGATTTCTTTTCCCCCTAGAGTGGGATTTCCTTCCCTTGTGGTTTCTGTACACGGGGATAGCGGGACGTCGAAATCACTTACCTACACTGTCCCGGCTTTTTCTTTGCTAAACCCGCGGTTTCGAGAGGTTTCAAATACTCTCTTGTCCAACACCACGTGCACATGTAAACTACCCAGCCGGTCATCACGTGCCCTCAATTTACCGCATTAGGTTAGCGCAACTCTCTTTCGGGAGTAGTCGCCCTCGATCCACCCTCTAACCCCTTGCATGCGCATGCTTCACATCCGCGTATTCATGAGACGACACCGCTTTGTCGCTTTGATTGTATACCCGGCCAGGTCTTATTTCCCGTTATCTCGTGGAGTTCAGATTCAGGTCCGGATTCAGAGTCGGATTTCCGGTGTTTGACGCGGGAGGGAGGATACCAGTGGCGCAGACGAGCGTGAGAATGGACGCGTCACGTGATTAGGATTTGTGGGTTGTGTTGGTGAAAAAGGTGGCTGGCCGGGTGATGTCATTGCTGCACTGCAAGCGTTTGTGATTATTTTTTTTTGTGAATGCGCTTGGGATTGTGGGGGTGTTGTTGGCATTGGGCGGGTGGGTAGATGAGGGGAATTTCTTTGTTTAGAGCACGATGAGTGTGATGTGTAGTCAGTATAGAGAGCGTGATCACAGGGAAAGAAAGAAAAGGTCGCATGGTGCTGACGTGGAAGAAGTATGGAATGTCGTCAGGATAGACTGAAGAGATGAGCTCGGTGATGAGGTTCAGAAGTTGAGGAATGTCTACTAGACGACTGTGAGTATTGCATCCCCATCGCGGAGGAACTTGACTACTGTCATAGAGTGGAGTACGACATGCACAGGCAATCCATCACGGCGAATGAAAAAGGTGATTTGAACTTTGGGCATCGTCTGCGATACCACCATGATGTTCTGGGCTACGCTACTGACAATGTAACTTTCCGCAAACGGGTATCCACAACCACTGCCCGCCCACCCCCCAAAAAAATAAAATAAGAAGCAACGCAAGCACCTCAGTAATTGTACCTATAGCACAAAGTCGTGGCCGTGGTATCCATGACGTCCCTTACACGGACAGTGGGGCGGAAATCGTAGACGTTGAGGGTGGTGTCGAGGGTAATCGGACGGCCCGAGACGTCGTTTCCATTGATGGTGTTGAGACGGGCAGAGTTGGCGTTTGTCCAGATGCGGAAGTTGCGGTCGAGGAAGGCGTGGTGGAGCCAGAAGACGGGGTCCGAGGGTGAGCCAAAGACGTCTTGCATGACGGCACCGATGCCGTTGTGTCCCCAGGCGTGGGGGCCACCCTCGGAGCAGGACCTCATGTTGTCGTAGTCTGCCCACGAGTTGCACTGGTTGACGTAGCCCGAGTTGCAGTTTGCCGTTCTGGCGTCGTCGTTGTTGCGGGCCAGACAGTGGGCTTGGTTGGAGGTGCCGGGCCCAATGTTGAGGACGAGATTGGCGAATTGCTGCGAGTTCATGTCAGTGTTTTGGCAATTGGGCAACGAATGGACCAAGTACTTACGCCGTTGGTGACGCAGCGGCCTCCGACGTTGGCGCTGCCGAACCATTCGTTGGAGAAGATGGAGGACTGTTGGAAGCGGCCGGCATATCTGGTCTCATCAAACCAGGGCATCGCATCGTTGAAGCCACACTCTGTGCGGAGCATGTCCTCAAAGGTCCACACAAAGTACCTGTGCCAGACCAAGAACTTGGCATTGCCGTGAATGTTGGGTGTCAATTGCTGATGAAGCGCAACGAGATCCTCATAACGACTTCTGGAGTTGCGGAACTGGCCGTTGGGTCTTCTGCTCATCAAGCACTTGATGGCATTGACAAAGCCTTGCCGGCGAGCGTTGGAGTACGAGTCCCATTCAGTACGCACGCGCACGTTGCTACAGGTTGCGCGCTTCTCCACTCTAGCCGCATTTTCTCCGTCCTCGGGCACCGAGCGCAGATGGAGGACGTCGGAACCGATGAGTCTCGATATGTCTCCTCCGACCCGGTTCAGGTCTTCTACAACGTGGTTGATGGCATCTGCGACACCAAGCAGATCAGGACCTTGGGCTCCGGTGACATTGGCACTCTCGAACTTTTCGTGGGCGGCTACAAAGGGAACAGGATACACGACACGAGGCGTGTTGAAAACATCGAGGGGAAGGGCTGGAACGATCTTGCTGTTGGGGACCTCCTGGGGAAGAGCAGAAACACTGCCAATGGCAGCGAATGCGGCCGACACAACTGAGGCTCGCATGATTATTAAAGGTAATTAAACAGACAAGGGAAAAGGGACAAGCGAGTGTGGTGGTAGAGTGGATTGGGTGACTGGATGCGACAGACAGCTGTACATCCAAAGTAGGGAATCCAGACGTGCAAGGGGGCAGTGGGTTTACTTATACACTCCCAGCTGGTACGCCTAAAAACCTCCGAACCGTCGGTAGGGTGGTCAGTTGAATCCGAGGTGGGCTGAATACGAACAACGCTTGCTCCGTCCATTATAAATTTGGCCTAGGCCTGCAACGTTGTATTGGGAAGAAAGAGGTTTGGACCCGGGACAAGAGATAAGTGGACTGCTAGCCTATATTGGGCGCGCGGCTCATTTGCCATAACTGATGGCGGCCAGGTTCTGCAAAGGGCCTGGGACTAACGAACTGTGGCTCTCCCGTACTTCATTAGCATGCATCCTTCCAGCTCGGGAATACGGTGTCGACCCAGAGTGAACAGCTTACTTACTTAGCATATTCACTTCGTGTACGAGCTGGCCCAAGGAGCCGGCGTGAGGAACTGCTGATGCCAAACTATTAGCAAGCGCTTGACGCTTGACTTGTACAGGTCTGGCACCAGATCCCAGCCAGGTTCCGAGCCTCGTGTTCTTGGCTAAGAATAGCGATGCGCGCGCACAAGATCATGTCATGATGTTGTACTCCGTATTTCCCATGACTTTCAAAGTGCCCCCCCCCCTCTCGCTTAGCTCTGTCATGCTCGTTTTACTCCGACAGCGTTCCTTGGTGCTTGGTGTCATGTAAAGTGGTATAAGCACAATGTACAGTACCTTGGTGGTTGCTCCTTGTCCCTTCTCCACAGGCAGAAGCTCGCATTGCATGGAAAGGGGCTGATAGCAGACGTGGCGTGCCAAGTCGATGAAGAGTAGGGCTGAAGCTGAATGCGAAAGGGGGGATCGACAGCATGCATGCGTTGCTGGTGTTGATGGCGTTTGCTTGGGTAAGGGGGTGGAGGGACAGAGGGAGCCCGGCCAGTCTCGGGGTCGGGGTCGGGATCGGGCGGTAAGAGTGCCGAATGGATGGCATCCGATGCTTGGACAACCCCGCAAACAGTCCCCTTCATCAATCCATTGCGGCTGTCCACCTCTCCACTCGCCTTCTATCTGAATCTCAGCCCAGGCACGAATGTCGCGGATTCGCCGAGGTGATCTTGGTGGTGGTGGTGGTGGTGGTGGTTGTGTCGGAAGAAGACTTTTCTCCTCGCGTGGTCGTCGGCCGTGAATTCAGCCACTGCATGCAGTCTTTAGCGATACCGTACGAGCCATGCTGGGCGCCTATCCACTGTGTGGACGTCCCTCCTGAACGTTGCCAATCCCGGGCCAATAAATGATTACCATCGCGATCAAGGACCATTGAATTGCGCATGTACTCCTACCCCCTCTTCCTCTGACACACTGCGACACAGTCGTCAAAGTATACCTAGTCGGGAGACGAATCACTGTACTAGAGTATACCGGCCGGTACAGCTCTGAGGTTCAGCTTCGGCTGACTAAGCCTCTGCCTCACTCTGTACCCTTTTTGGCCCACCACGCCCAACCCACACCTTCACCAGGCGAGGTGACACCAAAACGGCATGTTTGTGGGCTGAATGACGGACAAGGAACGCCACACAATGTACCCAATCGTTTGTCCCAGACGCTCCTACTCTGCGACAGCCACTGTCAGCTTCAGACGGCGTCCTCCAACCATGGTTCAGATCTCGAGCCTTTTGCTCCTTCACCGTTTTCAACCCTCTTTGTCCTACCGACTGAGCGCTGTGTCCTTCAACAACTACTCAACAGCAGACTGAGCGCTCGGTTTCCGTGCGCTACGTTGCTGGCGCGGTTGGCATTGCAATCAGAGCCGCTTCTGCGGATGTACCGGCGACCAAACTACAATCTGTGAACCCTTCGTCAGAATCGTCGACATGGACACGACGTCCTCTATGAATTGTGGAGTGGACCGCAGCCCTGGGATCTCAATGCGACATTGTCACTTTCCTCCCGTGCGATTTGACCAGCGAACAAAGAAATGCCCTTCTCGAACATCTATACGGAGGTGGCTTTCAAAAGTTCTTGCTAACAGGGGTGTCGATATTACCGCCGTGATACTACCGAAGCTTAGACTACTTGGTCGCGCCGCCCCTCCTTATGCTTATTACCACCTTCTAGTCTAATAATCTGCTGAACATAATACTGTATACGCTCTATCTAAGCCTGGATTTAGTGTTGAGGTAGCTTACCCTCTGCTCTACTCTTAAGAGCGCCCTTCCTAGTAGTTCTCCACTTAAGCCATAGCTAGGCTGCTTTAATAGCGTTAAGGTTAGGTGAATTGCCACACTAGAGAAGCTTCTCTACTCCCTCTCTCTTATATACTAGTTGTTGGGCATAGTAGGCATGTAAAGGATTAGTATTAGGAGCTATAGCAGAGTAAAAACACTAAAAGTGTGAAGGACTTGGGCTTATGCCTAAGCCTAGGTCTAACACAAGACAGACCAAGTCTAACACTACTACTAAGCGAACACACTAGACACCTATAAAAAGGCGTAGAGGGCTTATCTCTCCTTTAAGATACTAAATACTATTATTAACACTTATTATATTCTCCCTTAAGGCTAGTCTATAATATTTTAGTATCTTCTTCTAAATATACTATAATAGTAATAAGAGATAGACACGCTAGATATTTAGAATAACTAGGTGCAACCTAATATAGTAAAAAGGCTAATATAATAGGTCTATAGATTAATAGAATAATAAGCTTAAGACTCTACTATAATAGCTATACTATATTAATAGAATAAGGAAATACGTAATTAGATTCTATCCTAACCCTCCTCTAAGCCTACTAGGTTTAATAATATACTGCCTCTACCCTCTCCTACCTTATATTATAAACCCTTTCTAGTTAGCTTACTATATAATAGCACTAAGGTAAACTTCTCCTCCTAGTAAATAACTATAGAGTTTAAACTACGTGTAGATAAGGTCTTTATTAGGGATAAAGAGGTAAGGTTTATATATATTTAGTCCTAGTTATTACCTATAGTCTAGCATGCTATAGCACTATACTTTAAGGATAGTACACGTAAGCGTTAGGATATAAGCAGGTTTCTTAACTACCTAGTATTCTATTATAGTAACTATTATAGGTAGAAGCACGCCTAAGTTATATTAGAATACTTATATTAGGGCTAAAATTAGCCTTTTATAAAGTTCTTTATAAATTTTATATAGCTCCTTATATATTTAGGAGATTTATACTAGAATAATAAATAAAAGCTTTTATAACTTTAGTAATCTCTTAATAGTTATATATACTTAGTTTCCCTTAATAGGGGAGTCTCTAGGATAAACTATAATATAGCTATAGAGGAATATAAGATAATTATAGTAGATATTAAAATAGCCTCTCTAGAACTAGGCTTTCTTTAGGCTAGTAAGTCTAAGGAACCCTAGTAGAAGTCTAACTTAGATTAGGATAGCAATATAAATATAGTAGAAGTAGTAGCCTTATTAAGTATACCTACTAAACTACTAATATTATATTCTAACATAGACGTCCTATAGGACCTATTTAATATATAGAAACTAGTAAAGGTCTATACCTAGTATAGATAGGGTAGTTATTTTATATATATATACCCTAATACCCTATTACTATAACTAGTAGGTATTAAGATAGTTATAGTATTAGCAAGCAGCCCTAATTTAGGAAACTAGCTACCCCTAACTTTAGGCTAAGTTAGGGGTATAAGGAGGATACTATAATAGAGGAATTATTAATAGTAGAGGCTATTAAGTGTCCCCTAGATATAGAGGCTAGTTTAAATAATCCTCCTTTCTTTATTCCCCTCCTCCTAGGTAGAGTAGAGAATATATGTTGCAGGAGGGATATTAACTAGATCACGGAGCATCTTGATCCCGATTAATCCTGATTAATACCCCTGTATGACCTACTATCTGATTAACTGCTAGCTTACTGCCAAGTGCCTAACAAAAAGCAGGAGCTCTGGTAAGGAAGGTTTACTAATTATTTACCTTCTAGTAAGGGTAGCTAAAGCTCTATATATATAAGTACAATTATAGTAGATATAATCTAATAATCTATCTCCTAAATTATTCCTAACCTTAGTAATCTAAATTTCCACAGTTATAAGCCTGGTTCGCGCTTTACCTTATTAAAGATCGTCCTATCTATTTAAGCGTATTATTTAACTTAGACACTAAGCTAGCAAGCTTTACTCTTTATACTATTTCTTAAGCAGAAGCTTACTTATTACTCTTCTACTATAAGCGACTAAATCCTAAAGGGGGATATCCTACTTACTAGATTAACTAACTGGCCTACCTAGTACATTTAATTTAGATACCATGCCCTAACTAAAGGGATCTAGGCAGAGGTAGACCCTAAGGCTCTAGATGCTAAAAACTACTTTAAAAATAAACCTATTAAGCCTAATATGCTAACAGATATCGCGCTATCTAATATAACAAGCAAGCAGTACAAGCTCTAAATAGCTTAGTACTAAGCCTGCTTATTAGATTAGGCATTAAAGTTATTAGCAATCTAGAACCTCTTTACATAGGTTAACAATATAGTAGATTAAGGGATCCTTACCCTAGCCTATATAGAGCTTGTTAATTAAGGAAGAGTAACCCTCTAAGCACTAATCTAAGTGCTCTGTAATAACCTAGCGCTAACTAACTTAAGCGCTGCAATACTAGCAAGATTGTAGTACAAAGCTTATCTTACTAAGGCAAAGATAAGTAGCTAAGACGCTAATTACTAGCAGAAGGAGTGGACAATCCTATATACGTAAGCTAAGGTATATAACGTTCCTAATATTAAAGGATAGCTTATAGTACAAGATTATCTTAAAGCTCTATCTACTAGGATCTTACTAGATTAGGGTTAAACTATGTTTTAAAGGATTATTAAAAAGTTAGTAATAGGAGAGCTAACTTATAACCTCCTATAGGTTGCCAAGATCTATTTATTACTGCTCTAAGAAAACAACATAAGATTAAGCTCTAAGGGTCCTGGAGTGTTTGCAACAATAGGAGCTCCACCTTCTAACTAACCTAAGAAGGAGTCTTTATATCTATACAGTAGATCTTACCTATAGAAACCTCCTAAATACAAAAATATTATTAAAGCTTAGATTAATACAGGTAACAAGCTTACTACTACTTAATAATTAGAGATTAAGAAAAAGATTAATAGGAATCTAAAATTCAAAGAGTTAAGAAAAACTCTAATCAAGTCCTATCCTATTAATTAAGATTATAGTAGTAAGGCAAAAGAAAACGCGATCACCTATCTAGGCAGTATCTAGGCGGCACTAATTAACCCTATGTTAATAGCGGAGAAAACAAACAGGATCTATTTAACTATAGACTTTGAAGCTTACGCTCTATTAAAGAGCACTATCTTTAACAACAGGGGTGTAGTGCACCTAGTTAATAATATAAGCTACCTAGAAGAAAGCTTGTTTAGATTAGTTAAATATAAGACAGTTAAAGCAGGAACTTAAGCTTTTCTAATCTTAGGCAGAGGGACTAGAGTAATCCCTAATACTCTTAATAGACTAAGAGGTCCAAAAACAGAAGATTTAGTGCTTACTAACGTGGTATTAGTAGAAGGTTTTTATATAAATATTATATTAGAAGCTTAATTACTTAAAGCAGGAGTTTGGTTCCTTAGGCTAGATACTACCTTGCGGTTTAGATTATTAGAAAAGAGCGTTATATTAGCTAAGTTACTGCGCAAGTTTAACTTAACTTTCCTAGAATATAAGCCCTCTACCCCTTATTAAATAATCTAAAGTATGGTGCCTAAACAACCCTAACAATCCTGGACAACTCACCTAAGACACGACAGTAAGGAGCTTTAGCACTAATAATTAGGCTATTTAGGACCTAAGGCGCTTAAAGCTCTAGTTAAGTTAGTAATAAACGTTAGGATTAAAGGAACTCCTAGGAGCAAATGCGAGCACTGCGCTATTACACATGCCTAATAGGTTATATTAAGATAACCAAGGGAAAGATTACTATATCTATACTACTAGGTATTATAGGATCTATTTAATATACTAACAGGTATAGCTTATAAGCAATAGATCTTAGTATTAAAGTGCAACTACTTAGGAAAGCTTTATACCTATCTACTGTAAGCTAAAAACCTTAATAAGATTATGCGGGTGTTTAAAAAATTTAAAAGCTTAATACTTAACTAATATAAGCTTAGCATAGTTAAGATTATACAAGATAACAACGTTGTAACGCTCTCTTAGCGTGGCAAATCTTGCTTTTAGATCTAGGCAGCTAATAATAGTATTAAAATTAAGAGCTTACCTATATATACCTATAAACCTAATAGAGGAGTAGAAAGAGTAGGGCAGGAGATTATAACAAAATTAATTAAAATAAGGATTAGTGCTAACCTACTAACAAAGCTCTAGCCTAAAATTGTTAAAGCAGCAACTTAGCTCTATAATATAAGCCTGTCCTATACTCACGATATAATATCACCTAACAAAGTGCTAGATTATTAGTTTACTAGATACTTTAGGTGGTGGCAACTAGAGTAGATAAGGGAGGCAACTACTAATCTCCACCCTAATTAGAGCGGAATATACGCCTATAGCTATTAAGCTTACCCCCTTAATAGAGATTAAGTAGCTAGGCGTTACAAGAGGGTTTTTAAGGTAAACCCTTAGGGTTATATTAGATATCTAGTAGGATATAGAGCATCTAATATATATAGGATATAGATCCCCTTGCTTAATTAAATTATTATAACGCAGAA